AATCATATCCTTTAGCTTCCAGCAAGTGGCCAGTGTGTGGGAACCCCCCCTCCTCCCCCCTTGCTCCCCCAATCTCTCCAATTCCTTTTACCTTGTGCCTTTTCCCCCTTTTTCAAAACCCTTTCCATGATCAACGCACTCTCCCCTCAGTCTAAGACATTAGAGAGGTGCGGAGTGTGAGCAGGTTGGAGAGGTCGGTAGATTAATAAGGAACGCAGTCATTGGTTGGTGAGTGTGAGGATTTTTAAATCTATCCGTTCAGAGACTCAATGAACGGTTATGGTTTTCTCGGGCAGTTGGTGGATTGGGGACGGTGTGGGGGCGCGGGGGGGAGGGGCAGGGAGTGGAGTGAGTGAGTGAGAAATTGTTTATGGAGTCACTTGTGTTCCTTAACCGTCCGCGACCACAACTGAACCTTCAGGCCAAGCCGGTGGAGCCCATGGTGGAGGGGGGGGCTCAAGTCCAACAAGTCATCAACATTGAGTGTCAGTCTGACTTCACTGAAGCCCCCCTCCTCAACATCCAATTCAGGTATAGTTCCCTCTGTGTCGGGAGGGCATCCGGCCCTCCCTCCCTCACCCCCACTCTCCCTACATTTCATCTGGCCCCACCCGCTCGCTCCATAACCCGTAAATGTCATGTTATGTTCCTGGAAGGGAAGTGCAAAATTATTGCTTATTCGGCCCAAGTAGGGCATCCGGCCCTCAGCAGCCAAAAGGTTGGACTCCGCTCCTTGCGAATGTGATGACGTCTCTCTCTCTCTCTTTCACTCTCCCCTCTGTTCTCGTGGGCTGTGTGGATCAGGCGCTGGCTGGGATCTGCTTAACACGGCTTCTTTTGCTGACTTGACAGATACGGAGGAACTCTGCAGAACATCACTCTGAAACTGCCCATCACTGTCAACAAGTTCTTCCAGCCCACAGAGATGGCCTCCGAGGATTTCTTCCAACGCTGGAAACAGCTCAGCAGGTAGCGGGGGAGGGAGGGAGGGAGAGCTGGTGGTGACACTGGGCAGAGAGGAGACGGCGTGGCGGAGCCTGACCCCGAGCAGGGTGGAGGGGATGGGGGGTGGGGGTGCGGGAGGGACTAGGTGACCGTAAGGGGAAGGAGGGGGTAAGGTGGAGGGTTTGGGGGAGAGAGTTCTGGAGCTTCGGGGCGTATTGGTTGAAGGCAAGGCCGCCAATGTTGAAGCGGAGGGGACGAAGGACATGCAGGAGGCCGGAGCAGATGCAGCGGGTGTGGTAGGGAGGGGGGGTGCGGATAGTGTGCACCGCAGAATCTCATTGTATCTCACAAAGTCCTTCTTGTCCTCTCTTTCCCTCTCTCTCTCCCATAGTCCACAGCAGGAAGCACAGAAGATCTTCAAAGCCAATCATCCCATGGACACAGAGGTCACCAAGGCCAAGGTAAAAAGTGCCTCGTCTCCTGGCGTGGACTGTGCTGCCACTTAGTGGTGAGCTGGCGGATTGCACCCTGTGTGGCTGTGGTGCTTCTGGTCCTGTTCTCACGCTCTCTCTCTCTCTCCCCCCTTTCCCCCCCCCCACAGTTGATAGGATTCGGATCCGCTCTGCTGCAGGGGGTCGACCCGAACCCGGATAATTTTGTCGGAGCCGGAGTCATCCACACGAAATCCATCCAGGTCGGGTGCTTGCTGCGACTCGAGCCAAACGGTCAGGCACAGGTCAGCGTCAATATCTGTACAGCGCCTTTACCCGAGGGGGAGGGGGCGGAGAGACATCGCAGGGTTTTTGCACCCGAGCTGGGGGTGGGGGGGCTTCGGGACCAAGGAAGGTGGGAGGGTAGAGGTCGGAGGGTGGCCGAATGTCCGGTCAAGTGACTCGAAGCACTTCGCGGGATGTCCTGCAAACGAATATGCTCTGTACGTTTCGCCCCCATAAATGCCGCAGGCAGTTCGCTTTGCAGCAAGTACCCGTGAAGCGCTTTGAGACGTCTCGGAAGACGGGACACGGTGCTGCGTCAAACACAAGGATTATCGTTGCGTTACAAGTATTTTTGTGTGGGGGCGAAACGCGGCAGTTGATTGCGCACAGCGGCGGCCCACGAACAGCCGTGGATTGCGTGGCCAAATTTTTTAGATGTATATTTTTGTATATATATATATATAGAGTTTTTTTGTTAATTTTTTCTTTTTGTTTCAGATGTATCGGCTCACACTACGCACAAGTAAGGAGTCTGTGTCGAAGAGGCTATGCGAGCTGCTGTCCCAACAATTCTGAACCATCCTACGTACCCCATATCTCTCTCTCTCTCTCAATCTCTTTCACACTATATCGTGCGTCCGAGTCAGAAGTGTGTGTGTGCGTGTGCGCGGGTGAGTGTGGTGTGTGTGTGGGTGCGTGTGTGCATGTATGCGTGTGTTCATATAGACACGCGTGTGTGCGTGAATGTCGGTATATCTTTTGCCACGTCCAATGAATCTCTTAAAACAAATATATATCATGTGATGTCCTTTCAGTGCAGTTGTATGTTTACGTGATTGTCCCGTGTTTTTTTGCCGCGATGGAGGAAGGACTTTGGGAGAAGGTTTTTGGTAGCCAGGGGCTCGGGCGAGCACCAGCTCCCAGTGAGGTTAGTCAGGGATGTGACCGCTATCTTTTTTTCCCCTCCCCTTTTCCTCCCTCCTCCGCCCTCGTCTCAGACACCAGTCTGTGTGAGGTGCTGGTGAGGGGACCTTGGAGTCACCGCTGCGCGCAGAGAAAGAGAGAGAGAGAGAAATGACCGGGTGTTAGTCTGTGTCTGCAAGTGAGATTCCTTCCCCCCCCCCCCCAACCCCCTCCACACCTTCCCGTCTCCTCCTCATGGCCTGCTCCCTATTCAACCCCCTGCTATACAGTCCACAGTTCAAACACACTTGGTCTGCTTGAGTTACTGATCAACCCGCTCCCCCCTCCCCCCCCCACCCACGGGGTAAATCGGTCCGGTTCTCCTCACCATTATCCTAAAGCCACCCTCTCACAACCCCCGGCCCCCCCCACCCTCATCGCCCGGCCCCCCCCCAACACCCCCCAGTGTTTGGAAAATGCTGGGGCGAGAGTGGGGAGGGAGGGGGGAAATGGAGAAAGCTGACCGCAGCTTTTGAGTTGTACAATAGCTCAGCACCTCTTCCCCTTCTCTCTCTCTCTCTCTCTCTCCGCACGCCCCCCCCTTACCTCCAGACCAGATGAGATAAGATAACTGGATCCTAAATGGTTTACGGTCTCTCGCCCCCAACCCCCCCCCCCCCCCCACCCCAACCCCCAACCTCCAAATCCCCTCTCAATGTATTCAATATAGCTCATTCCTTATATAAAAAAAGTATGAAGTAATTGATGTAAAATGTATCTGTATATATATCTCTTATGTAGGGTTGCCTATAAACTCGCTGTTTGACCCAGTTTATTCCCTTCACGATCACGGACATTTACTTGGCCAGGGTGAGGAACCTCTAGATATTTTGTTTTCTTATTGTAAGATTTTTTTTTTAAAAAAAAAGCTTTGGTTCGAAGCGAAGACAGACTGGATCATTCACATCCTCTCACAGGACCAATGGTCTCCTTCTCCTCCCCCTCCCCCCCCCTCCCTGGTCTTCGGGGCGCTCTGGGGCGCTATGTAACTGCAAGTTGTTGTTGTTGTTGTCGTCGTCGCCTCGTGTACCCACAGTAAGATCTGAAGCGCAATACCTCCCCTACCCCTACTTGCAGGTCTGTCAATACATCATCCAACAGACGCACACACACACACTCTTGCGCACAGTCATACTCTGTGTGAGGTACAAACGCTCACTACACACACAACACACGCACCACGGTAGTAGTGCATAAGACAGGCGGAAACTGTTGGGTTGCTCTGTGCCCTGCAGAGAGAGCCCCGGGTTTTTCGACGGTGACCGACTTGAATCCGCCTCTGCCTCTTTCTCCGTCCCACCCCGACCTCTGCGTGCAGTCTCTCTGCACCTTATGCGGGAAACTAGTTACTGTATTCCCGCTGCTGGTAGAGAGAGAAGCATTTTATTTCGCCTGAAGGGGGGTGGTCAGGGGGGGAGAAACCGTGCACATAGCTCCCTGGAGCTTGGATCTATCTCTGTACAAATGCCCACCCCCCCCCCCACCCACACTGTGAAGTGCCGTCTGTGTGCATGCAAGGAAGAAAAGGGTTGATAATAATAGCACTTGCCTTTACAGCGCTCTTATCACGCTATCGAGTAGACTCTAAAAGTGCGTCACTGGGTTTTAATGTGGAGTGGAGTGACTTTTTCATAGACTGCTGTTCTAGGGGTGGGGGCGGGGGGAGCAGCAGCGGTGAGAAAGCAGAGGGTTTGATGGTTTCCCTCCGTCAAGCGAGCGCGAGGACCCGGGTTTCGCTTCCCGGGCTGGACAAAACGTTGGGCAAGTTTTTGTTTCTCTGCGCACACGTCTCTGTTTACTTAGCAGTACGTAGGAACCCGGTTGTTAAAGTCGGTCGGCGGATGGCTTTCCCGGGCACGATGATCCCTCGGAAAAATATAATAATAATAATAATAATAATAATTTGGTCACTCAATCCACCATCGTTGGCGCAATTGGCTTCCGCGTTTCGCCCACAAAAAATACAGTCGTTTCACTTTACGGTGCGTCCTTTGAGACGTCTGGAAGACGTGATAAGGCTCTCCCGAAGGCAAGGATTATTATTATTACCTTCCCGCTGCCAAGGAATAGTCCTGAGCCTCGGGCTGTTGTTGGGGGGCGGCGGGGGGGGTTTCCTTGGACCCCAACAAGCCAGGTTGTCACGCTGTGTTCTCGCTCCTTGTCTACCAGGTTTCCGAAGCGCATGTTTACAGCTAAACGGCTAAAATCTCTTTCTAGTTCGGTATTAAGCGACTACCTAGCGACGTGCAGTGCTTTTTTTTTTTAAGCGTAGTTTTTAACCCTAGCGGACCTGAATGTTGTCACTGTGTTATCGGCCGACAGCCGAACGCTCAAGCCTCCTGTGTTGGTAACTGCCTACGATGCTTTGCGAAATGTTTGGCTCACGGCCGGTCGCCCGGGAACCCCCGTTGCTCAGCTTGGGGTCCGCACGGGGGGGGGGGAGGGTGGGAAAATGGCGGGCGCTCAGAGTCGGTTGGGTTTAAGGGAGGAAAGTTCAGGTCAGCATCGATAGGAGCTTAAGACGAACCCTTTCAAACCTTTTTTTCTCTCTCTCTCTCTCTCTCTCTCGCCTGCCCTCGCTCTTGCCCCCTCCCTCTCGCACCCCCCCACCCCTCGCTCCCTGCGTGTCTTTGTGTCTTTCCCCCTCTCACACTCTTTTCTCTCTCTCTCTCACTCAACCGAGATGTACCAGTGGTTCATTCTATGTTCAGTTCGGACCACCAGTTGAGGTTACAATTGCTCTTGGTACCAGAGCTTCAGTTGGGGGGGGGGGGTGTGAAATAAAAAAAATCACACTGGGCTTCCCTGCTCTTGATTCCCCCTTGGGAACATCCCCTCCCCACCACCCTCCCCTCACAAGTTGATGTGTACACCTTTCTTTCCCACCCCACCACCATCATCCAACTGGACTGGAATGGGGGTGCGTGTAGACTTTGGGGCGAGGGCAAGATTGACTGTAATACTACTACTCCTTTCCATTCTGGACTCGCAACTCCCCCCTAATTATGCCCCCCCCCCCCCCACAGTACTCACTGGGACTCCACTATGGTCATTTGGGGGAAGGCGATGGAATGGTGGGGGTAGAGGGTGTAAGGACTCATGTACACACACACACCCTCACCCACCTGACACGAGTCAGAGTGTGTGTGTGTCGGTGCGGAGGGGGGGGGGTGGGCTGGGGATGGAATACTCTATGCACGACTGTACCACACGGGCTCGGACTTGTTTAGTCTGAGATGCTACTGTGTGTGAGGAGCCACGAAGGCAAGTTGTTGTTGGTGGTGCGTAGGGCAGGGAAACGGCCACCTGCCGTCCAGTCCAGCCTTCCTCCTTGGACATTCCCTTGGGACAAGCGAGTGCTGTAAGGGGAATGCGGGATCGTGTGCGGGAAGAGGATTGGGAAGGGCGGGAGAGGGAGGGAGGTAGAGGTGAGCGATGAAAGTTAGGGCGATAGATCTGTGTCCGATTCGATGACCCATTGGAACCGAGTCTGGCTGACCCGGTGTGGAGGTTGGCGTGACTATGCAATTGCTGCGCGTCATTGGCAGATTGGCTTTGTCTGTGTGTGAGTGCGGTGTTTGTGGCGTGTGTGTGTGTGCGCGCGCGTGTGCGTGTGTGTGTACGCACTGGAGGCTTGATCCTTCCTCAGTGTTTGGGTGAAACGAGCTGTTTAGAAACCGAGGCGTAAAAAAAAATGTCCCCAACGACGGAATTAACACGATTCAGATAAAAGTTGGAGCATTGTAACACTCTCTGACGCGTTTGGGCTGCTTTATTTGTTGGCTGCTGACAATGGGGGGGGTGGGGTTGGGGGGGGGGGGAATCTGTTCCTAGCTGGGTGGGGTGGGGGGGTAAAATCAGTGGGATAAGGTCTCTTTTTACCCCATCAGCCTCCCCCAGTTACCACTCTGAGCGAGGGAACAGCTAAGAATAACTCCATTCTTTGCTCTTACAACCACAGCGTGATTTCGTGGTTTCCTCTCCCCTGAATTTCCCTCCCGCCCGCCCCAAAAAAAGCACACGCACAGACACACACGCACACACACAGACACTCACACGCACAGACACACACACAGACGCACACACACAGACGCACAGACGCACACACAGACACACACGCTTGTGTATATATATATTTTTAATCGCCTTTGCTGAATCTCTGAATATCTCTGCCTAAGTCCTATTACTTTGCACCCCCTCTCCTCTCCTCTCCCCTCCCACTCTTCAAACAGCCACCCCCACCAGCAAAAACTGCCCTCTTAGTTCAATGCCCTGACATTTACCTCCCCACACCCCCCCCCCACACCCCCCCTCCCCCACCTCACACATCACCCCTTCCTATCCTCCCTGCTCAGTATTCGCCCCTATCGATAGCTGCGAAAGCACCTCTTTTGCTCCCGAATACACCGCAGATTTCTCTTAAATTCCACTGAATCAGCGGATTTCCGCACCGTTTCCACAGGAAGTTTTACAATATATAAATACCCCTCGAGTCGGCTGAAAAAAGAACTGAACGGAGGGAGGCTGAAAAGATCGGGATGCGCAAATCTTTATCCCTTCTGCTCTCCCCCCCCCCCACACCCCCCCGCCCTTCGCCACCATCCCCGCACGTGACATAAGATCTCCGCGTCACACCCAGAAAATGCACAGAGTGAGAATCGCTTCCTTCGCACTGTCCGTCCGTCCGTCCGTCACTTCGGCCACTGGGTGCGAAACCGTTTTCTTTCCGATAGCCGTGCCAAGGTTCCCAGGTCTGTGGACGTGTCGCTGTGAGGGAGAGGCTCAGGGTTGTCACAAGGGTCTTAGACATTGTCTTAAAAGGCTCTTCACAGAGTAAATGCCCTGGCCAGTGTAGTGACTGTGCTCTTTTCAAGCGGTCGGTCTGCGGACAGCAACGGGCTGATTGGATCCAGAGGATTGTCTCTGATCAGACGTCACGGCCGTGGCCTCTTGACGTCTGCCTGAACTGGTTGAAGGAACACGTCATTTGAGCGATGTCTCTCCTCTTTCTACGACGCAAGTTTCAGGGCGTGAACCCCACAATCGTATGAGAGTGACCAATTGATCCCAAGTTGCGTTGAGCCCTGTTCCTTGTCCTCACTTGACTTCAGCACACTTGGGGGTGGGGTGGGGGGAGAGAGGGGGGCAGCGGAGAGGGAACAGGAGCTGATTCACCCCCTCCCTCTCTTCCCCCCCCCCCTCCATCCCCCTTACCCCCCCACCTCCCAAACACTGGCTGAGGTCATCACTCAGCACAAAGTGGGGAAGGAAGAAGCATTGGTGTGGCTCAATCTTCACCAATATGACAGTCATACTCTGTGTGAGGTACAAACGCTCACTACGCACACAACACACGCACCACGGTAGTAGTGCATAAGACAGGCGGAAACTGTTGGGTTGCTCTGTGCCCTGCAGAGAGAGCCCCGGGTTTTTCGACGGTGACCGACTTGAATCCGCCTCTGCCTCTTTCTCCGTCCCACCCCGACCTCTGCGTGCAGTCTCTCTGCACCTTATGCGGGAAACTAGTTACTGTATTCCCGCTGCTGGTAGAGAGAGAAGCATTTTATTTCGCCTGAAGGGGGGTGGTCAGGGGAGGAGAAACCGTGCACATAGCTCCCTGGAGCTTGGATCTATCTCTGTACAAATGCCCACCCCCCCCCCACCCACACTGTGAAGTGCCGTCTGTGTGCATGCAAGGAAGAAAAGGGTTGATAATAATAGCACTTGCCTTTACAGCGCTCTTATCACGCTATCGAGTAGACTCTAAAAGTGCGTCACTGGGTTTTAATGTGGAGCGGAGTGACTTTTTCATAGACTGCTGTTCTAGGGGTGGGGGCGGGGGGAGCAGCAGCGGTGAGAAAGCAGAGGGTTTGATGGTTTCCCTCCGTCAAGCGAGCGCGAGGACCCGGGTTTCGCTTCCCGGGCTGGACAAAACGTTGGGCAAGTTTTTGTTTCTCTGCGCACACGTCTCTGTTTACTTAGCAGTACGTAGGAACCCGGTTGTTAAAGTCGGTCGGCGGATGGCTTTCCCGGGCACGATGATCCCTCGGAAAAATATAATAATAATAATAATAATTTGGTCACTCAATCCACCATCGTTGGCGCAATTGGCTTCCGCGTTTCGCCCACAAAATATACAGTCGTTTCACTTTACGGTGCGTCCTTTGAGACGTCTGGAAGACGTGATAAGGCTCTCCCGAAGGCAAGGATTATTATTATTACCTTCCCGCTGCCAAGGAATAGTCCTGAGCCTCGGGCTGTTGTTGGGGGGCGGCGGGGGGGGGTTTCCTTGGACCCCAACAAGCCAGGTTGTCACGCTGTGTTCTCGCTCCTTGTCTACCAGGTTTCCGAAGCGCATGTTTACAGCTAAACGGCTAAAATCTCTTTCTAGTTCGGTATTAAGCGACTACCTAGCGACGTGCAGTGCTTTTTTTTTTTAAGCGTAGTTTTTAACCCTAGCGGACCTGAATGTTGTCACTGTGTTATCGGCCGACAGCCGAACGCTCAAGCCTCCTGTGTTGGTAACTGCCTACGATGCTTTGTGAAATGTTTGGCTCACGGCCGGTCGCCCGGGAACCCCCGTTGCTCAGCTTGGGGTCCGGACGGTGGGGGGGGGGGGGGGGTGGGAAAATGGCGGGCGCTCAGAGGAAAGTTCAGGTCAGCATCGATAGGAGCTTAAGACGAACCCTTTCAAACCTTTTTTTCTCTCTCTCTCTCTCTCTCTCTCGCCTGCCCTCGCTCTTGCCCCCTCCCTCTCGCACCCCCCCACCCCTCGCTCCCTGCGTGTCTTTGTGTCTTTCCCCCTCTCACACTCTTTTCTCTCTCTCTCTCACTCAACCGAGATGTACCAGTGGTTCATTCTATGTTCAGTTCGGACCACCAGTTGAGGTTACAATTGCTCTTGGTACCAGAGCTTCAGTTGGGGGGGGGGGGTGTGAAATAAAAAAATTCACACTGGGCTTCCCTGCTCTTGATTCCCCCTTGGGAACATCCCCTCCCCACCACCCTCCCCTCACAAGTTGATGTGTACACCTTTCTTTCCCACCCCACCACCATCATCCAACTGGACTGGAATGGGGGTGCGTGTAGACTTTGGGGCGAGGGCAAGATTGACTGTAATACTACTACTCCTTTCCATTCTGGACTCGCAACTCCCCCCTAATTATGCCCCCCCCCCCCCCACAGTACTCACTGGGACTCCACTATGGTCATTTGGGGGAAGGCGATGGAGTGGTGGGGGTAGAGGGTGTAAGGACTCATGTACACACACACACTCACCCACCTGACACGAGTCAGAGTGTGTGTGTGTGGGTGCGGAGGGGGGGGGGGGGGTGGGCTGGGGATGGAATACTCTATGCACGACTGTACCACACGGGCTCGGACTTGTTTAGTCTGAGATGCTACTGTGTGTGAGGAGCCACGAAGGCAAGTTGTTGTTGGTGGTGCGTAGGGCAGGGAAACGGCCACCTGCCGTCCAGTCCAGCCTTCCTCCTTGGACATTCCCTTGGGACAAGCGAGTGCTGTAAGGGGAATGCGGGATCGTGTGCGGGAAGAGGATTGGGAAGGGCGGGAGAGGGAGGGAGGTAGAGGTGAGCGATGAAAGTTAGGGCGATAGATCTGTGTCCGATTCGATGACCCATTGGAACCGAGTCTGGCTGACCCGGTGTGGAGGTTGGCGTGACTATGCAATTGCTGCGCGTCATTGGCAGATTGGCTTTGTCTGTGTGTGAGTGCGGTGTTTGTGGCGTGTGTGTGTGTGTGTGTGTGCGCGCGCGCGCGTGTGCGTGTGCGTGTACGCACTGGAGGCTTGATCCTTCCTCAGTGTTTGGGTGAAACGAGCTGTTTAGAAACCGAGGCGTAAAAAAAAATGTCCCCAACGACGGAATTAACACGATTCAGATAAAAGTTGGAGCATTGTAACACTCTCTGACGCGTTTGGGCTGCTTTATTTGTTGGCTGCTGACAATGGGGGGGTGGGGTTGGGGGGGGGGGAATCTGTGCTGAGCTGGGTGGGGTGGGGGGGGTTAAATCAGTGGGATAAGGTCTCTTTTTACCCCATCAGCCTCCCCCAGTTACCACTCTGAGCGAGGGAACAGCTAAGAATAACTCTATTCTTTGCTCTTACAACCACAGCGTGATTTCGTGGTTTCCTGTCCCCTGAATTTCCCTCCCGCCCGCCCCAAAAAAAGCACACGCACAGACACACACACACGGACGCACACACACACACAGACACTCACACGCACAGACACACACACAGACGCACACACACAGACGCACAGACGCACACACAGACACACACGCTTGTGGATATATATATTTTTAATCGCCTTTGCTGAATCTCTGAATATCTCTGCCTAAGTCCTATTACTTTGCACCCCCTCTCCTCTCCTCTCCCCTCCCACTCTTCAAACAGCCACCCCCACCAGCAAAAACTGCCCTCTTAGTTCAATGCCCTGACATTTACCTCCCCACACACCCCCCCCACACACCCCCCCCCCCACCTCACACATCACCCCTTCCTATCCTCCCTGCTCAGTATTCGCCCTTATCGATAGCTGCGAAAGCACCTCTTTTGCTCCCGAATACACCGCAGATTTCTCTTAAATTCCACTGAATCAGCGGATTTCCGCACCGTTTCCACAGCAAGTTTTACAATATATAAATACCCCTCGAGTCGGCTGAAAAAAGAACTGAACGGAGGGAGGCTGAAAAGATCGGGATGCGCAAATCTTTATCCCTTCTGCTTTCCCCTCTCTCTCCCCCCCCCACACCCCCCGCCCTTCGCCACCATCCCCGCACGTGACATAAGATCTCCGCGTCACACCCAGAAAATGCACAGAGTGAGAATCGCTTCCTTCGCACTGTCCGTCCGTCCGTCCGTCACTTCGGCCACTGGGTGCGAAACCGTTTTCTATCCGATAGCCGTGCCAAGGTTCCCAGGTCTGTGGACATGTCGCTGTGAGGGAGAGGCTCAGGGTTGTCACAAGGGTCTTAGACATTGTCTTAAAAGGCTCTTCACAGAGTAAATGCCCTGGCCAGTGTAGTGACTGTGCTCTTTTCAAGCGGTCGGTCTGCGGACAGCAACGGGCTGATTGGATCCAGAGGATTGTCTCTGATCAGACGTCACGGCCGTGGCCTCTTGACGTCTGCCTGAACTGGTTGAAGGAACACGTCATTTGAGCGATGTCTCTCCTCTTTCTACGACGCAAGTTTCAGGGCGTGAACCCCACAATCGTATGAGAGTGACCAATTGATCCCAAGTTGCGTTGAGCCCTGTTCCTTGTCCTCACTTGACTTCAGCACACTTGGGGGTGGGGTGGGGGGAGAGAGGGGGGCAGCGGAGAGGGAACAGGAGCTGATTCACCCCCTCCCTCTCTTCCCCCCCCCTCCATCCCCCTTACCCCCCACCTCCCAAACACTGGCTGAGGTCATCACTCAGCACAAAGTGGGGAAGGAAGAAGCATTGGTGTGGCTCAATCTTCACCAATATGACTCCTCGAAATTGTTCCTTGGAAAAAAAAAACAGTCTTTGTCGTTCCTTTTCTTTTGTTTTCTCACATTTTCCCCCCAACACCCCCCCCCCCACAAGATTGTACACGTCAGCCCGGCCGGAGCTCGCGCGCTCTCCCTCTCTCTCTCTGCTAGAGTTCCAGTGTGGTGGTCGAGTTCTGGATCACCACCGGGTTTCGTTGCACGTGGAAATAGTGTCCGTCGACGTGTCGGAAATCCACGGCGAACAGACCGAAGAGGAGAAGCAGCACCATCCCTGCCACCCACTCGCAAATGGCGGCCGCACTTCTCATCCCAGACACATGGAGCCACAGCACTGGACGACCGGTCAAGGAAATGTATTTCTCTCTCTCTCAGTCTTGACACCCTTTGGAATTCCATCCCACGCTCCCTCCGTCTCGCCCCCCCCTTTCCCTTTGACCGCCCCATCAGCCTCCCTCCACTCCTCCTGATATTTTTTTAAGGGATTACTACCACCTAGAAGAGCAACTAACGACCGGATTCCTACCCACTGATGGGTAAACAGAGGCGCGCGCGCGCGTGTGTGTGTGTGCGCGCGAGTGGGGCGTAAGGATAAGGTTTCACCCTGTCCCGCCCGGGAATCGAACCCGGTTCCTCTCGCTTGCGAGGCGGGGGCTCTTAACCGATTCGCCAGAGGACTCCGCAATATTGGTTTCGAGTTTTACTTGAAGGCACTCCCTGTCTCTCTCTCTCTCTCTCCCAGTTAACTGCGTCGGGAGTGTCAAACTCAACCAGGACCCCAGTGAGTGGTTAACAGGGTTCCGTTTCCTTGGTCGAAGGATACTCGAGGCAAGACTTGCTGTACATGCGAGACAGCAGATTATCCTCACCGGGCCACACCATTTGCCTCCATGCCTGGGTTTTACCTGGTAGGTCAGGCCCACCTGAAGCCAGAAGTACAACGTCCCAATAAAGAAGGAGAGGAAAGCCCCAGCCAAGTGGACGTGAATCTCGGCGATGGTCTGGGTGAGGCAAAGCACACCAAAAACTCCTGTGGCTGCGCTCAACGCGATGTCCCTATCCCTTCGCGACGTCTCAAAGCGCTTCACAGGATACACCATAAAGTGGAGTGACTGGGGATTCTGTGGGCCAAACGCGGCAGCCGATTGCGCTCAGCGACGTCCCACAAGTCGTGGATTGACCGAAACGATTTTCTTTTGAAGGATTATTACTCCCCAATAGACTCACAACCGGGTTCCCACTTACTGCTAGGTGAACACAGGCGCGTGTGTGTGTGTGTGGAGTAACTTGCCCCGACCTACCCGGGAATCGAACCCAGGTCCTCTTGCTTGCGATGTGAGCGCTCTAACCAATACGCTACAGGACTCCACGTTCTCCTGAGGTGAGAGGCGCTGGGCAAGTGTAACGCAGTGTGTTACATCGGTACCTGGAAATTCCCGACCAGGGTTGCCCCCAGAGCGGACAAGCAACCGGTCACCAGACTGACTGTGTTCAGATGCGAGTGACAGCCCAAATCTCTGATCTGCTGGTATCTGATGACACAGACCCAGGTAACTGCAGAGAGATGACAGTCAAGAGAGAAAGAGCTTGAATTGGCCTCTGATTTCATTGCCCTCTCTCCCCCCAAAGCATTTTGTCCCTTGTCGTGAGGTTATTTTGGAGAACGATGCGACCCAGTCACACAGGACCACCTTTCTCTACCCACCCCCCCCCCTCCCTCCCCCCTCACTTCCTCCCCCACACTGGAGATGTTATGATGTGGATAGGATTTGGGCTGCATTTTCCTCCCTCCCCATAACCAGAGACCAAACTCGCTCACTGCTGCCGTGAAGGCTGAAGAATGGCTCAGCCTCGCAAGGAAGCTGCTGGTTGGAGGATGATGTGATGTGGGTGGGGGGGGGGGGGTGGGGGGTTACAGGATAACAACGGACTGTGTTAAATGCTGAACTCACCCAAGAAAGCCCCGATGTTCATCACTTGACTGAAGAGGCAACTTTGCGGAGGGTATGCGCCACAGGTACTGGAGAAACAGCACAGGTAATAATAATCATCCTCGAGGTTCGATACAGCGCCTTATCACGTCTTCGAGACCTCCCGAAACACTTCACAGGCTACGCTGTGAAGTGAATTGACTGTGTGTGTTTTGCGGCAGCCAATTGAGCGCAGCGACGTCCCACAAACAGTCGTGGATGAGTACTACAGTATTATTTCTTTTTTGAAGGGTTTATTTCTCTCGGAGAAGCAATCGCCAATCGACTAACAACCGGGTTTCCTACCGCTAGGCTCGTGAGGTATAAGGAAACTTGCCCAATGTTTCGCCCTGATCCGCCCGGGAATCGAACCCAGGTCCTCTCGCTTGCGAGGCGAAGGCTTTAACCGCTGAGCTACAGGACTCCACAAGGTAAACCCAGGGCACAGGTAAGCACGTTCAGACCATCAACTCTGCTCTGGTGCTTTTCCCAACATGAAGCTACTCACTCTCGCTCACTCCCCATACCCCTCACTCCCGAAGGACCTGCCCATAATCCCTTTAAAGGGAATGCATTGCTGAAGTTACATTTGTCTGCGCCTTTCACGTCAGGAGGACGTCCCAAGGCGCTGGACAGTCAGGGATCTGCACAGCTTAGGAAGTTTCTGTAATTACCTGATGTAGGGAAACTCCACGGTGAGATTGACCGCTCCATTCACCACAGCCATACCAAACCTGGAGCAAAGTCACCGCCCGTCAACAGACATTAATACAACCAGTGCCGAAAAATAACACGAAATAACAACAACAATCTGTGCGTGTGATATCCAGGACCTTCCACGTCAGGGGGTGGGCGCCTCAGAAGCCCTTCACAGGATATGCCGTCAATAATTGACATTATTTAATTTAAATTATTTAAACGTGAAGTGACTGTGTGTTTTGTAGGCGAATGAAGCGGCTATATTAAGCCACAGTGACATCCTGCAAACAGCCTGTACAGTGGGGGGGGGAATGGGAAGGGATTGGGGCTGTCGGGAGTGTGGGGGAAGACGGCCCCAATCCCTTCCCATTCCAAGTCACGTGGGTGGGTGTTTTATCAGCCTCGTACCACGTGCGTCTGTCGTGTCCGCAAGCCGTAACATGCACACGTACTTACACCGTCCAAAAGCCTCCCGCGGCAGTGATCATAAGAAGGATGGGGAAGAGAGCCCATGCCCACATCATACACGACCTGGAACACAGTTCACAATACCTTTCATCGTACAAGTCCCATCCAACGTGGAGTCACTGACCTCCCACTGTACTCCCACCCCCGGCTGCACAGTGCATCATTGCATAGTGATCTTTATCCCACCTGTAAATAATAACCATCCTGGCGTTTGATCCAGCGCCTTATCACGTCATCGAGACGTCTCAAGGCGCTTCACAGGATACACTGTAAAGTGTAGGGACTGTGTGTTTTGTGGGCGAAACGCGGCAGCCGATTGCACCCAGCGACGTCCCACAAACAGCCGCGGATTGTGTGACCCAAATTATTATTTTTTTAGAGGGATTATTACCCTCGGAAAGCGATCCGCCAATCGACTAACAAAGGGGTTCCTACTTACCGCTGGGTGAACAGAGGCGCGCGGAGGAAGGAAACTTGCCCAAGGTTTTGCCACGCCTGGGAATCGAACCCGGGTTCTCTCGCTTGCGAAGCGAGTGCTCTAACCACTGAGCTACAGGACTCCAGGGGTTATAGAGCAACTACACAGTTTATTAAGTGCTAATATTTATTTTACAAAGATTTATTTATATATATTATATATAGTGCTTGGCAGTCATGGCACAGAAGTGATGTTTCTCTCTCTTGCTCTCTCGCTCTCACACGCGCTCTCAGTCAGAGCCTTGTTGTTCTGCCATGGAATGCCCTAATTCAACACCGCCAAGAAGGACATCAGACTTCCTTCCCTCCTCCTTTCCTAAGACTTCCTAAATTGTGAAGGATTCTTTTTTTATGTAAAAAAAAAGCTCCTTATCCACAAGTAATCACCTCCTAGTTCAGTGTTTGTAGGTAAATCACCAGCCATCTTGTACGCAGTACACGGGTTTAAAGCCTCGAACGATGGCACCTTTGACAAGGCAGTGCCCTACCTCAACCCCACACTGGAGCATCAGCCTAGACTATGAACTCCAACCCCGATGTGGTGGGGGATCGAACCCACAATCTTCTGACCACCCCCCCACACCCCCCCAAGGCGAGAGTATGACTGACTGAACCAGACTGACACCTTATGAAGCTGACGACGAAGATCGGTGTGATTATTATAAGCAATAATAACCCTTGCATCTGATCGAGTGGCTTATCGTGTCATGAAGACGTCTCAAAGCGCTTCACAGCATATACAGTAAAATGGAGTGACTGTGTATTTTGTGGGCGAAACTCAGCAGCCAATTGTGCGCAGTTAATCGTGGATTGAGAAACAAAATTTTTTTCTTTTTGAAGGGATTATTACCCCATAAAGCGATCAACTAACAACTGGGGGTTCCTCCTTGCTAAACAGAGGCGTGTGGAGTAAGGAAACTTGCCTAAGTATTCGCCCCGGCCGAGAATTGAACCCAGGTCCTCTCGCTTGCGAGATGAATGCTCTATCCACTCTAGGGTTAGGGTTAAAGTGCCTCCAAATTGTACTTATTCAACGTTTTACGTGGTTAATGTTTTACTCGATCACATTTCATTTCCAAAATCGATCGGCAACTTATTCAACAAAAAGCACTGGTTGAGAAAATGCTACTCACTCTGTCTGTATCTAAGCGATTGTGGGCAGCCGTGTTTGCGAGTGCACTTCACCTCTATCCGTAGCGAGTGACGGAGACAGAGAGAGAATTTACTTTTCCAAAGTGTCAAACTTTGGTCAGAGAGAATTACTATTTCTGCCCGGATAGAGAGTCCAACTCTGGGTGAAGTTGCACCTTTGCACTATTTTTATCTATTGGTATTTTACGACATCCAAACATCTCAAAGTGTTTCACAATCATTTACAGTGCAGTGACTGTATTTTTTAGGCAAAACCCGGCCGCCAATTTGCACACAGCGATATCCTACAATCAGCTGTGAAGTGGACGACTTATGTTTTTTTATCTGGAGATTGTTGGCCAGGACACCAAGACAGAAATCGAGAGAGAGAGAGAGAAACTACCTTCTGTTTCACATCAGCTCTGCAGAGCTCTTTAACATCCCTGAATGGGGCGCACCTCTCATCCAAAGGACAGCGCTCCATCAATCCAGTTCCTCCCCCCCAACGTCTCCCTCTTCCCCCCCCCACACACCGATACTGTGAACAACCCAGACTGTGAGAGCTCAAAGGGGAAAAAGAAATTAAAAATCATGCAAAGATTCTAACTACTCTTATATACATTGCAAAATACTTCTTACGGTATATTCTGTGAATAAGTAATTGTTATTAAGATTATATTACTATAAACAAAAGATTACCTCAAAGCAGTTGAGCGTACTCCAATCTAAACTCCACAAGGCTTTGCGTCCGAGTGTCTAATGGCTCCTTGTACTTTGTCGTGAGAGGTTAAGATCCTGTCTTGAGAAGTTAAGGTCTCGTCCCGTCACAATTCTGTCGGACTTGTGGTGGGAGGTGAGGTTGGAGGGTTGTGTTTGGCTTCGGGGGAGGAGAGGAGGCAATTCCATGGCATTTTCCATCGGTTTCCACTCCCTCCCTCTCTCTCTGCTCCTGAACCAGTGGCTCTTGCCCACCAGCCCTGACATGAATAGTGCCTCCATGTCCTGCTCAGTGCACTACAACAACAACAATATAGCGCCCCTCACGCAGGGTAGTGTCCCAGAGCGCTTGTACCTGAATGGGTGACAGAGAAGGGAGGGGAGGGAGGGGGTGAGATTGTGCAAGGTTAGTGGAAGGAGCAAAAACAAATAAACATTTCAAAGCACATTTCTTTCACCAACAACAACGACAACTTGCCTGCTCACGACCTGAAGATGGGGAAGGAAGGGGCAAGGCAGAGGGAGGGATAGAGGATGAGCGTTCCAGAGTTTCGGGGCATAATGGCTGAAAGCGGGGTGCACTAATGGTTTGAATGTCTTTCAGACAGACCAACAGATCAAGCACGAGGGGCCGAATGGCCTCCTTCTTGTGCTGTACTATTCTCCGGGACGATGGCACATACCTGTGGGTTGTCGGTGCGGTGGGAGCTGCTGGCGTGATCAGCCCCACTCTTGAGTCAGAGCCTCACAGTGACATAACAGAGCAGCGTTTGAGGAGAGCCACTGCTTTTTCTGTGTGATGAGAAAATAAACCTTCCCTTTCCTGGCATCTCTGAGGAAATCCAGCCTCTCACTGGTTGAGAAACAGAGGGACCATTAACGGGTCTTCTTAGCATAACACTGTTAGGAGTCTCATGCCCTGTTGGTTCCTGGCTCGCCCAGGTTCGATCTCCCCCCCTCCCTTCTCTCTCTCTCTCTGGGCTGAGTTGGGTCGTAACTTGCTGTGTTAACACACTCGCCTCTAATGCTTTGAGAGGCAGCGAAGTTTTGTTGGAGGAGCTGCCCTTCGGATGAGATGTTAAACCAAACTCCTTCTCTGTCCGTGTCCCATTCAGGTTGACATTGAGGATCACTCATGGCGTTGTTGGAAAAGAGAAGGAAGTTTCTCTCTCTCCCGCTCTCCCCCTCTCTCTTTCTCTCTCTCTCGCCCCGGTGTCCTGGCTGACAATCCCTCAGTTAAAACCGCGGCTGATTGTGAGGCCGTCGCTGGGTGCGAACCGGCTGCCTTTCTTCCAACTTTATCGTGTCCTTTAAAATTTAATGCCGAGGGTTGCGGATTTCATTGAAGTGACAATAAAATTCTGTTGAGCTAACTTAACCGGGCTTAACTCTCGGGCTTTCGGTATAAATCAAAATACGCAAAAAAGGTTCAGCCTAGGTCACGGAGATGTAAAATAAACCTCTGAATGTCCGAACCTTCCCAATTTGCTTTAATCTAAATAGCCTGTCGACATGGAAGAATTCATTAGTCAAGTTACAGCGAGTTACAGGGAATTGCGTTCGTCAGTGAGGATTGAACGCAAGAGACCCACTGGGAGGGAGAGCGAGCCCTATCGTGGGTGGACGTACATACATTATAAGGGTGATAGAACCATCTCAACTGCAAACTGTTGGTAAAATTTGGTCGCTCGACCCGCGACTGCCTCGGCAGTTCGTGGGACGCCGCCGTGCGCGATCGGCTGCCGCGTCTCACCCGCGAAACACGGCAGTGTCGATTCGCTTTGCAGTGTATCCTGCGAAGCGCTTTGAAAAGTCTGGAAGACATGATATATATAATAATAATAATAATAATCCTTGCATTTGATATAGCGCTTTTCACGTCGGGAGGACGTCCCAAAGCGCTTCACGGAACACATGTAAAGTGAATTGACTGTATAGTTGTGGGCGAACGCGGCAGCCAATTGCGCACAGCAATGTCCCACAAACAGTCGTGGATTGAAAATGACCAATTTATTATTGTTTTTGGTTTTGGAGGGAATATTATTAGGCTCTGTGTGGAGTAAGGAAACTTGCCCAAGGTTTCGCCCTCTGCCTGGAATTGAGCTCAGGTCTCTCGCTCGCAAAGCGAGTGCTCTAACCACTGAGCTACAGGACTCCACACACACATATATATATATAAGGCATCAAATTATATCATATTAAAACCCCGTGAGGCGCTTGGAGACTTCCTCCTGACGCGAAAGAGGGCGGCCCGTATCCGATGGGGAGGGTGGGAACTACCGCCCGAACACAGCGCGTCGCTCTCAGGAGAACGTGGCATCGAGCCGGCGCCGGCGGTTGGGGGGGGTGTTTTTTTTCATGATTTGCGCCGTGATTTGAATCCGTCGGCTGAAGAAAAGGAACGAGAGAGAGAAGAGAGAGAGAAAGAAAGCGCGAGAGAGAGAGAAAGGGAGAGCGAAAGAGAGAGAAAGAGAGAGAGAGAGTGGACAAAGCAGAAACTCTTGTGTTTTGGGGGGAGGAGGGTAGGGTTTATTATGATTTATTTGGTGTTTGAGGGGTTTTGGGGGGTTTTGGGGGGTTTTGGGGGGTTGGTTGACTAAGATCATTGATAATAAAGCCCGGTCTCCTAGCAACGCAAGGGCAGGCTTCGAGTGAGGCCTACTCTGCCCGCGCAACCGAACGTGCTGGGCCCGGGCCCCGCCCCCTCCGGGACGGACGGGGCCGCGGGCCAATCAGGAGGCGGCCCGGTGACCTCACCGCGCCCGCCGGCCAACCGGAGAGCCGGAGCGGAGGGAAGGGGGGGCGGGGCGCCGGGCCGGGCCGGCCAGCAGGTTTGTCGGTACCGGCGCGGGGAAGGGAGGGCTGAGGGGCCGTCTTTGGGAGAGAGGCACAAAAGGTGGGTTTGGGGTGGGGGTCGTGAGGGGGGGAGAGAGGGGGGGGTTGGAGGGAGTGAGGTGGGGGGGATTGGGAGGGACGGGGGAGGGCGGAGGTTGAGGGAGTGAAGGGGGGGATAGGGAGGGAGTGAGGGGGGTGAAGGGAGGGAGTGAGGGGGGATAGGGAGGGTGGAGGGGAGGGAGGGAGGGAGTGAAGGGGGGGGGGATAGGGAGGGAGAGAGGGGGGGAAGGGAGGGGAGGGAGTGAGGGGGGGAATAGGGAGGGAGTGAGGAGGGGGAAAGGGAGGGGAGGGAGTGAGGTGGGATAGGGAGGGGGGAGGGAGGGAGGGAGTGAAGGGGGGGGGGGAATAGGGAGGGAGTGAGGGGTGGGAAGGGAGGGGAGGGAGTGAGGGGGGATAGGGAGGGGGGAGGGAGGGAGTGAGGGGGGATAGGGAGGGACGAGGGGGTGTAGGGGAGGGAGAGAGGGGGGCGTTGTGGGGGGGGGGAAGGGAGTGACAGGGTGGGAGGGAGTTGGGAGAGAGAGTAGGGGTTCTGGAGTGGGTGAGGCTTCACACGGGGCCCAGGGTGGGGTGGGGGGCGTCTAGACGCTGCTGTCGGCCTCACAGGGTCGGCCTGGGGGTCTCCCCCCCCCCCCCTCCCCCCCCCCCCCGGTGAACAGCAGCCGGGCCTTTGTGGTGGTGTGTGGAGGAGGATTCCTCTCCCTGTCTGACCGCAGCCTCTGGTCACCGTTATCCTTGTTGTCGTCGTCGTCGTCCGATACCCCGACGCGCCATCCGGACCCCCCCCCCCCACCTCGAGGCTCCTCGCGCCCGCAAAGGTGTAGTGACTGTGCGTGTATGGGGTGGGGGGGGTGGGGTGGGTCAAGAGCTCCCGAGTCCGGTGCCCGGTAACGCGGGGCGCGAGAGTAAAACGCAAGTTGTTGTTGTGGTGGGGGCTGATTTGCGCACGGCGACGTTTCCTCACCCCCCACCCCACCCCCACCCCCCGGTAAACAGCCGCGAAGCCAGCGATCCGACAAGACGGGAGACGCCGAGCGGGGGAGACAAAAGAAGAAGTAGTAATAATCTACGAGGATGACAATAATAATTCTTGCGTTTGATACAGCGCCGTGTATCAGGTCTTCGAGCCTTCGACTCAAAGCGCCTCACTGGGAAGCTCTGTGTGTTTTGCGGGCGGAACGCGGCAGCCGATTGCCTACGGCAGCGTATCCCCGCAAACAGTCGGGGATTTTGAGTGACCGCATTTTGTTTGTAGTGGGATTATTACCCCCCACCCCCCACCCCCTCGGGGAACGCGATCCAGCAATCGACTAACAACCTGCTGGGTAAACAGAGGCGAGCGTGCGTGCGCGTGTGCGCGTGTGCTCGTGTGTGCGTGTGTGTGTGTAGTAAGGAAACTTGCCTAAGGTTTCGCCCCGACCTGCCCGGGTCCTCTCGCTTGCGAGGCGAGGGCTCTAAGCAAAACGCTGCAGGACTCCACTATTGAAGGGCGTGTGCGTGAATGTGTATTACAGAGCGCTCTCTCTCTCTCTCTATATATATGTACATGAACATTCCAATGTTCTCTCTATAAAGGCAGTAATGCAACACTGTGCCTGTCGCAGGTTATGGAATCCATGCGTGTGTCTGCCAGAGATCTGTGTGAATACGATGACCTTGCCACAAGCCTGGTCCTGGATCCTTACTTAGGTTTCCGTTCCCACAAAATGAATATCAGGTACAAGCTTTTGCTTTGTTCCCTATTTTTTGAGGAAGCAGTTGGTCTGTGACTCGGGTGTGTGAGCTGTTGTACAATTCTTTCCCTTGCCCTCCCCCACTTCACTCTCTCTCACACACACAGACACGCAGACACCCTTCCCCTGACGTTGTTGTGAATAAAGGTACCACACTTAACTATAATAGTAATAATAACCTTTCACGTCAGCACGGCCCAAAGCACTCACTGATATAGAGGCCAAAAAATATCTAATTCGCAGTGTGGATTATTGTGGATTATTACTCCTGGAAAGCGATCTGTCAATCGACCAACATCCGGGTTTCTACTTACTGCTAGATAAACAGAGGCGTGCGGAGTAACTTAGAAACTAAGAAACATAGTCTAAGGTTTTGCCTTGCCTGCGAATCGAACCACGGCTCTCTCGCTTCGGAGGCAAGCGCTCTAACCCATGTGCTACAGGATTCCACAGCCGATGTGTGCGAGCCGCCACGGTTCCATCTGAAATGTTCTTTTTCATTCTGTAGCAATATACCTGTTGTCAGGAGACACCAATACCTCAGAGACATCGTGCAAAAGTTTCAGAGCTCCCGAGACTTGGAAAGTGTGTACAGAGCACTGACCCTGGGGGATTGGGCCTGGCAGTACTTCCTACACAAAACCCGTCTTGAAGAGGAGATCTTCAAATCTCAGGTAAGTAAGCAAAGGATTTCAGCCTGTCTTTGGGTCATTGATGCCAGTAATGCCACCATAAAGTGCTCTGAGAGATTATACACGAAGGGCAGTGTGTAAATAAATGCAAGTTGTTGTTGTTTTGTGTGTGTGTGTGTGTGTACTACGTGAATATATAATATGCGAAATGTTTTTTAACAAATAGTTTGGATTTGTGTTTGTGTGCTCAGGTATTCCGTTACCTTCGAATCTTTCTGCCAGAAAGCGGGTTTCAGATCCAGCCGTGCAGTCGCTACTCATCAGAGACTAACGGTGCTAAGGTTGTGTCCCTGAGGAAGTGGTAAGTCTCTCCTTTTAAACGTAATGTACAATCGTCCAAACCAGCCAGAGCTGTGAGGCGTGGCTTAATTACAAGGCTCCGGAATTTATATAATGCCCCTCACACAGGGTAGTGTGACAGGAGCGGAGCACGACACTGAGTCAAGGAGGAAAGGAGGTGACCGTAGGCATGATTGAAGAGGAAGGTCTTCAAGCGCGAGCTGAAGGTGGGGAAGGAGAGGGCATAAAGGAAGAATGTTCCAGAATTTTGGAGCTTGTTGTTATTGTGTTAGACCGAGCTCCCCCGCGACACTGTTGGAAAAGAGAAGGGAGCTTCTTGCCCCTCGTGTCCTCCCCCGACAATTAAACGGGTTGGTGAATTTTACGCTATTTGTGGCGCAAATAGTGCGCAAAGTGGGTGTCGCGTTCGCCCACAGTACGTCCAGTCCGCGCTCTGTTGTGACTTGGAACGTTTTCCCGTCAGGACGGAGAGCGACAAGATCGAGCTGCTGGTGGGCTGCCTGGCGGAGCTCTCGACAGAGGAGGAGGGTCTCCTGCGGCCGGGAGAGAACGACTTCAGCGTGATGTACTCCACCCGCAAGAAGTGTGCCCAGCTTTGGCTGGGGCCAGCCTCCTTCATCAACCACGGTAGGCAGGGCGAGGCGAGGAACGGTGCGCCCGTCCCTCAGTGCTGTTTCCGTGGCTGACAGAAATGAAGTCTAACCCTCGTTTTCTTTTTTTCTCTCTCTGTGGCCCGAAGACTGCAGACCAAACTGCAAGGTAAGAGAGCGACAACAACTGGCGTGTACGCAGGGCCCCTCGCACAGGGTGCTTGACAGTGGCAGAGCACGATGCCAAGGACGGGTGGGAGGTTGGGGGGGGGGCGGGGAGGAGGGAGGTGGCCGTAGGCAAGGTCGAAGCAGAAGGTCCCCAAGCACGTCCTGAAGATGGGGAAGCAAGTTGGAGGGATTACAGGAAGAGTGTTCCAGAGTTTCGGGGCTTAGTGGCTGAAAGTGCGGTTGCCGATGGTGGAAAGGAGGGCACGAGGGACTTGAGGGAGGCCGGAGCCAAGCGAGCGGAGGAGAGGTAAGTAGGTGCCCGGGCGCGAAGGGATATATTGGAAGACGAGTGAGAGGATCTTGAGGTACATCTTGAGGCTTTATCTGCAACAGGGGAATACGGGCCACGCAAGAGTAGAAGCAACGTGTGTACATGGTTTCTCTTTTCACTCACTTTTCTTCCTGTTAATTCTTTCGCTCAGTTTGTGTCGACCGAAGGTGACAAGGCGTGCGTCAAAGTGCTGCGAGATATCGAAGCCGGGGACGAGATCACCTGTTACTATGGCAATAGCTTCTTTGGGGAAAGGAATGAGCTGTGTGAATGCTGCACGTGTGAAAGGTGAGTGGGTCGGGTTGGGGGGGGGTGGGCGGTGGTGGAGGGGTGCAAGGCGAGTGTGTAAATTAATCACTCACTTCAATAATAATAATTGTGCATTTGATACAGCGCTTTATCATGTCGTCGACAACATCTCGGAGCACTTCACAGTGTAAAGTGTAAAGAGTGTAAAGTGATTTGACTGTATATTTTTGTGTCCCACAAACAGTCATGGATTGAGTGACCAAATTATCATTTTTATTATGATTTTTTTTGAGGGATTATCACCCCCACCCCCTCCCCCAGAAAGCGAACTGCCAATCAATTAACAACCGGGTTCCTACTTACTGCTGAGTAAACAGAGGGGTGTGTGTGGAGTAAGGAAACTTACACAATATTTTCGCCCTGACCCGCCCGGGATTCGAACCCGGGTCCTCTCGCTTGCGAGACGAGTGCTGTAACTGCTACGGCACAAGGACTCCACCCTAAAGACACGAGTCCAAATCAAATGATTAATAATTATTCCTGCTGCCTTTGTCAGGCGAGGTGAGGGAGCCTTCAAACTCAAGACCCGTCCCGAGGAGACCGAGGCCTGCTCCAAGTACAGCCTGCGGGAGACGACATTCGCCTGAGCCGCATGAAGGAGAAAGGCAACGGCAGACACCCACCCGCACAGCTCCATTGTCATTCAGCGACTGGAAAACCATTCTGGCAGAGTGAGTAACAACAATAACTTGCAGTTTCGCCCACAAAATACAGTCACTACGGTGTATCACGTGAAGCACTTTGAGACGTTTCAACAACTTGATAAGGCTCTATATCAAACTCGAGGACTATTATTATTGTTATAAGTTGTTGTCTTGTTTGTCTTGTGCAGCATCGAGTTACAGACTGTCCCTGAGCTCGAGGAGACGGGCCGGAGCGAAGTCAAAGAGACAGAGCTCCCGTAGCAACATCAGAGCGTCGCCTCGATCGGCACCTCTGCTGCTTCAGTGTTACGATCCCGGCAAGCGGAAGATGCCGAGAAGCAACAGCTGGTCGAGGAAATGGAGGCCGGATGGTGACAGAGGAGAATCGTGGTCAGCCCAGGGCTCGGAGGAACCGCTCCCTCCTGCTCACTGCTACCCGGCCCGGCCACACCAAACCAAAGCCACCGTATCGAGATTGCCCGGCACTCTCCTGATCCTGGAGGGCGTGGTCCTCAAGGATGTGCGGGTGGGCCTGTACGATTGCATCAATCTACCCAGGGGTTCGATCGACTCGCTAGAACCGGGGCCCAGAGAACACAGCGGAGGGGGTGTGAGGGGAAAGCGTGGGCAAGGCCAAGGGGAAGACATGGAGCCTGAGCCAACTGACATCCAGCGGGAAGGAGAAGGGAGCAAGCCGGAAGCGTTTGCGAGCACCAGTGGAGTTGTAGGCGCTAGGATCTTTCTGAGGAAGCCCAAGGCCCCGTTGGAGGGCTTGGTCGCAAGCCCAGAGGAACGTGCTGTCTCCGAGGAACAAGTACTTGGCTGCTGGAGGTTGTGCGGGACAGAGGGTCGAGTTGGAAACCCCTCCTCTGGAACTTCTACCGGTTCCACCATGAGCACGAAGAAGGTGGCGGGGGTCCTCACGCTGAGGAGGAGGAGGAAGAGGAGTTGGTGGAGGAGAAGGAGAAGGACTTCCAGTAAAGAGAGCCAAAGTCCTCAAGTCACAAAGCCATCGCTGAGAAGTAATTACACATTGACCCATTTTGTGAAGGTCGACCTAAGCAAGGATGTTGTCTCTCTGAGTCAAAGTTCCCTGCCTCCCCCTCCCCTTCCTCCTCCTCCTCCTCCCAGTGTTAAGAGGCAGAGTTTGTGCCTGAGCGGGACAGACGCCCAGCGAGACCCCAGCCCAAGGCCCCTGCTCTCGCCCCGCCCGCAGGGCGCGATCTGCGACGTGCGGGTTGTGCTAGAAGACATTGCAAAGATCTGCGAGCATGCCAGCCGCGCCTGGTACGTGAGGAGGTGCTTGGCTGCCAGGCTGGCCCTGGGGAGAGGAGGGGGACCGAGCAGCGCGGAATCCGCTGGGGCGCCCGACTGGACTGGGAGCAGCAGGGCGTTGGTGGAAGGTGGGCAAGACGCTGTGGTGGGCAAAGTGTCCAGGCAGAGGCAAACCCCAAGCGGAAGCGGGAAGGTGGCAGGCGCGAACGAGGGAATGATGGGCCTTGGCATAGAGCCGAGGAGGAAGGGACTGCGGAGCTTGGCCTCACTCTACCGTTCGGACACCACAGGGCTCCGGTGCGACGAGGGGACGCTCTCCCAGCGGTGTCTGGCGTCTTCAGCCGCCGCGGCAGCCAAGCAGCCCCCCGCCTTCACCCCCTTCGCCGGGTCCAAGCGCCTGCGTCTCGTGGTCAGCCACGGCTCCATAGACTTCGACGTCACCTCCTCCGCCAGCGAGGATTCCATCTGATCATTGACAAGGGGGAAATGGACGTTCCCCCTCTCCTTTCAATGAGAAGATTACACAGAGATCACTACGTGCGGGCCTTACAACAATTTACCTTCCACGTAGGGAAGATGACCCAAGGTGCTGGACAGTCATTGCCTCTTAACACGACTGTTGCAATTTGGTGGCTCTCTTCACCTTCCCCCCCCCCCACTCCCAACCCACACCAATCATACAGTATCTTCACTTCATAGGCAGGGAGGTTGCAGGTCGATCCCCTGCATATGCTGAGTTCCTGGGTTGGTGGGGGCTGCAGGCAGCCTCAATGCTCCTGGTTTTGGGGTGGGGGGGTTCGAGGGGGAGAGGGTGAGAGAAGGGGGGGTGGGAAGAATGAGTTAGAGTCTCTGCTCCTGGTCCACTGCCCATTCCTAGGCAGGCATTTGACATCTATGGCCTGGAATTCTAAAACCTTCCAGATTTGGGAATCAGATCCACAAGTCCCATTTCTCCACAGTTTATATATTTGGAAAAAAAAAGACCGTATTCTAAACTGAGTCTAGATGTTTACCAACTCCCCCGCACGACGTACAATCTTAGCCTTAAAACGATGGTCTTAAGGCTAGGAGCAGCTGGAATGTCGTGGTTCTGGTGGGGACAGAGGGCTTGGGGGTGATGTCCGTCCCCTTTTATAAACCCTCCTTCCTCCCGCAGGAGTGCCATCCCTTTGATCCCGAGGACATGTGATATGATATGATCTGCCGCTTGGGTGAGGTACTGGAAGTGTGGGGGGGTGGGGGGTCGGGGTCAGTGTCTTCAGGCGAGAAGAGAATTGGCTGAGTAAATAACCCTGTAACCTCTAGACAGATGACCATCATTGTAAAGAGAATTAAGACGGGATGTGGCCGTTGCCAGATTGAGAGCCTGACATTGGGTCACCCTACATTCGCCAACTGGGTGGCGTCTGCCTGGCTGCCACCCTTTCCCCATCGACCATCCGATAACTCGTGAAGCGATGGGTGAGAAGAAAAATGTCCGTCCACTTAACCTCGTCAACTTTCCTCCTCCGAGCGATTCTCCCTCCTCCCACCCCCCCCCCCCACCCACCCAACTAACAATGTGACACCCGTCCGTCCACAAACACTTCCGTCTCCAAATACGGCTGTATTGAACGAGGAGCTGGCTACACAACCTCAGGATAACATACTCTGGTGCTATGTGTCTGTATGTCTGACTGACTGACTGGCTGGCTGGCTGATGTGCTCGACGTCATGACTGTTTTTTTTTTAGCGAAGTTACGTAAAAGTGTTTTTAAAAAAAATACACAAAAGAACCTTTTTGGGGGGTATTTGTGTGTGTGTGTGTGTGTGTGTGGACTGTCACACGTAAGATTATCTCTCTACAGTGTTGAGTTTGCTCCAGCTTCACTGGGGTCAGGGCTAAAGGACATGTTTTTATTTGGAGAGGAGAGGAGAGGTGGGGAGAAAGAAGGAGTGTCTCTAATCAGAGGCTCGAAATATCACTCAAGTCTATCCAAAATGCTTTGTCTTTAAACGTTGTGTAAAATTCTTACATTCAGTCACGGTTTGCAAGCCAGATTGCCACAGTGTTATACATTTGAAGACCAAATGGTCCGGGACGATGTGGAACTGTCCCTCCGGGTAAAGTTCCTCATTGACTTCATGGCTGTTCTGCGGGACGTCACTGGGTGCAAACTGGCTGCCACGTTCGCCTACAAACTACACTCTCTTGACAGCAATTAACTGTGAAGTGCTTTCAAGACATTTTGTATGATGTTAACGTCAACTGGCTGCAGGCAGCCAAGGAGGCCTGGAGACCAGAGGCTTTTTCTCAACTTCATAGATTAATTTCCAATAACAGAATTAGAAGGGTTATTTCCAGGAAGTTGTGTGTGTGTGTATATATTGGGGGGGGAAGGAATTCTATCGATTGAAGCCCCCCTCCCCCTTCCCCTCTCACTCCGGTTGCATTCAATTTTGTTTTCTGAGATTGATGAATGAATTCCTTTTTCTAATATTACCTGTACTGCACAAGAACATCGTCCCGAATAAAAGTTGCATTTTTTTTCCCAGACAAAGGAAAAAGGGAAGACTTTTATCTGTTTTCCTCCTGTTCTTTAATGGCGATGGTTGGTTGGGGGGGGGGAATAGTTGTGAATTGTGTTATTAATCATTTTGTTGTCCATCCCTCATCAATGTTCTCTCTTGCGGCTGAATCTTGTTGAGGTGGTCGTTCGTTGTGTTTGACCCCTGGGCAGTGAGTATTGTGAGGGGCGCTAGAAACATGTAATTGAAGTAAAAGAAGGAAGTTTAAAAGAAAAAAAAAAAAATTTCTCTCTCTCTCTTTACGGGCGCCTTGACAAGCGCGGTGGAAATTCCCCGCCGATCTTATCGGGAGCACGTGCCGCGTTTTTCTTCCCGGTTCGGTTTATTTTCCGGTCGGGCCGGGGGGCCACCGCCGTCGCGCTTCCAAGTGCCTCCAAAACCCAACCGGGAATTCCGCGCATCCCGCAACGCTGGTGGGAATTCCCAGAGATAGATCGTTGGGAACGCGCACTCTCGCTCTCTCTCTCGCTCTCGCTCTGGAGGGACGAGGCAAGGGGCGCAACCCACACGGAAAAGACACAGGCAGGTGGACCTCTGAAGCCATGGCTGTAGTGGATTCCCACACATGTGTCAGGACTGAATGAAGTGTGTGTGGCTGTGTGTGTGTGTGTGTGTGTATATATATGGGGGGGCTGCCCCGCAATGACCTCACGTCCGCTGGCAGTGCCGCCCCGCAGTGACCTCACTTCCGTCCGGGTCAGGCCGGCGGCTGTTGGCTGGCCGTGACGTCACAGCCCTGGCCCCCCTCGGCACGTGACGCGGGCCTGAGGCGGACAAGGGGAGCTGGGCGCGCGTCACTTCCGGCGCGATGGCGGCGCCCGCGGAGTGAGTGAGTGAGTGAGGGAGAGGGCTCAGGAGAAGGGAGTTTCTGTGGCGGGTAAGAGCCGGTGGGGGGGACAATGGAGGGGAGAGGAGGGTCAACACCCCCCCCCCAGAGAGAGAGAGAGATGAGGCTCCCACTCGAGGCCTCTCCTCCCCCCACCCCCTGAGCTACATACAGCCCCTCATGTGGTGAGAGTGCCCCCACCCCCCCCCGAGCTACAGCCCCTCATGTGGTGAGAGTGCCCCTCCCCCACCCCCCCCCCCCGAGCTACAGCCCCTCATGTGGTGAGAGTGCCCCCACCCCCCCCCGAGCTACAGCCCCTCATGTGGTGAGAGTGCCCCTCCCCCCCCCCCCCCCGAGCTACAGCCCCTCATGTGGTGAGAGTGCCCCCCACCCCCCCCGAGCTACAGCCCCTCATGTGGTGAGAGTGCCCCTCCCCACCCCCCCCCCCCGAGCTACAGCCCCTCATGTGGTGAGAGTGCCCCCCACCCCCCCCCGAGCTACAGCCCCTCATGTGGTGAGAGTGCCCCTCCCCCCCCCCCCCCCGAGCTACAGCCCCTCATGTGGTGAGAGTGCCCCCCACCCCCCCCCGAGCTACAGCCCCTCATGTGGTGAGAGTGCCCCTCCCCCACCCCCCCCCCCGAGCTACAGCCCCTCATGTGGTGAGAGTGCCCCCCCCCCCCCGAGGCCCCTATTATTATCTTACCCATTGCTGCACGTGTTGATCTGAAAGCCCACCTCAGGGCTTTGTGGCCGATTGCTGTCAAGTGTAGTGACTGTTTGCGGTTTGGGGCTCGATGCTGGGGAGGCAGGGAGGGGGGGGGGTGAGGGTGGCGCCCGTTATTGGGAGGCAATGTCCTCTTTTGGATTAAATGTGTGCTGTGTGGGGGTAGTGGTGGTGGGGGAGTGGTGTGGGGGAGTTTTCTTCTCTCAAGGTGTCCCTGGCTGACAATCCCCCCAACCCCCCCCCACACCCACCCCACCCCTCCCCGGGTAAAATCAGTCACTTTGTGGACACTTGTGATTCTGTTGCCGCTGTGTTGCTAAGTGATTTGGGACGTCTCGGTGGCACGAGTGGTTGGTGCAAGTTTTTTTGTTGTTGTTGTTGTCGTTGTTATTCTCCTCCCGCTTTCCAGACCGGAATATCAGAAGATGGCAAACGGCGGATCGGACCGAGACCGACATCCTCAGAACCTACAGGGGCTCCTGCGGCTCTCGGTGGAGGCGGGCACCGTGGGCGATGGCGTCCCTGAGCTGCATCCGATGGCGGAACAGGCAAGTACGGGATCGCCCGGGGATTGAAGCTGTAATTCACGCGTGTCATGAAGAAGCCAAACGTTGTCATTCTTTCCCCTCCTTGGTCAGGTTTAATTTCGAAGACCTGTTGGTCAAAGTGTTAGACGTGGGGGTGGTGGGGTGGAGGGGGTGGGGGGGTGTTTGTATATAAAAGAGCTTGTTCGCTTTCTTCTGCTTTGTGGGATTCAGACAATTACAGTGTCAGCGTCACAGGCATTTTTGAAATTACATTGTAATTACATTTAGCCGACTTGTCGGACCGAGTCACACCCCCCCCCCCCCACGCCCCCCCAAAAGCCGGAGTTTTTAAGTGTATATAACACAGACAACATCATTGATGCTTAACTGTGCGTCTCTCTCTCTTCCACTCACAAACGCAGCGCAGACAATGGCTGCAGGACGCGCTGTCAGATGCGTTCGATGGGCAGCTGGATGAGCTGAAGCAAATCAAGCAGTGTCTCCAAATCCTGTACGAGCCCCCTGACGAGGACACGGGTGGAGAGGGGAGGAAGGAGAGAGCGCTGGACTTGGTGGCTGATCTGTGTGAGAACCTGGACAATGCCAGAGGTGAGCTGGGTCGGGTTCAATGTGGAATGTCACTGAGAGAGGAGGTAGAGAGATAAACTCAGCAGAGAGAGAGAGAGAGCCTACGTGCGTACACATACACATACACAGATAGTGTGAGAGAGCAACATTGTTCACACAGTTATATGAAAGAGAGACACATCTAGCAGGATGTGGGTGGGGTGCGTCCGCGTATGCTCGTTAACACCTTACTGTGTACATCTGCCCCCACCCCCCCCTCTCTCTGTGCCTATGTCTGCATAGAGTCAGAGATGGAAGTATTTACAAAGACAGTTATTCGAGAGGAGGAGCTGGAGAAAGGTGTGAGGGCGGACAGTAAGAGTTTGAGGGATTGAGGGGGAGATGGTGTCCACACTGCTCTCTAACGTTCCCTGTGGTGGGTTCAGATTTCTGTAAGCTGGACGGCATGAAGCTGGTGGTGGAGACGTTGCTGCAATGCGCAGACCCGGAGCTGCGCTGGCGCTCGGCGAACATCATCGGCACCTGCAGCCAGAACAACCCCTTTGTGCAGCAGTGCGCACTCGGTCTGGGCGCCATACAGATACTCCTCGACCTCCTCAACAACGACGAGAACGACCTCGTGCGCATCAAGGCCCTGTTTGCCGTCTCGTGTAAGTGCCTTTAGCCTGGGGTTTGGGGGTGGGGGGGGGCAGCAGAGGGAGAGCGAGAGAGAGAGCTCAGATTACCAGCGGGCCTTTGAACCTCCGAGCCAGGCTGACACTCCAGCACAGCCCAGCAGTCGGTGGATAATAATAATAATCCTTGGATTTGATACATCGCCTCATCACGTTGTTGAGACACATCAAAGCGCTTCACAGGATTATACTGTAAAGTGGAGTGACTGCATTTTCTGTTGTTCTCTCTCACTTTCTCCTCTCAGGTTTGGTGAGGGAGCAGGAGGCCGGCCTGCAGGAGTTTGTCGACCACGACGGTTTCTCGGTCTTGATGCGGGCCATGCAGAGCCGAGTCGAGAAGCTGAAGGTGAAGGCAGCCTTCCTCCTGCAGAACCTGCTGGGCAGCCACCCCGAGCACAAAGGTGAGAGAGAGCGAGAGTGCCGGGAACTGCTCCCCACTTATTCTCTCAAACCACCACTTCCCTCCCCAACCTTTGCTTTCCCCTCTCCAGGTTAGGATTCTCCGCTCTGTAACCTGCCCCTCTGCCACTTTTTACAGCTGATGTACACTCCACCTGACTCTTAACACGCTGGACCTCTCTCTCTCTCTGCCTTCATCCCTCCTTCCCTATTTTCAGGTCACACCTGAAGAGCTTCCTCCCCACCCCGGCTCGGTGTCGCGCTCTGAGTGAGTTGTTGTTGTCTGGCCACTGGGTTAACTTGTCCAGTAAACGCAGCCAGGTGACTGCGATGTTCCCTGAGGACCTGGAGGCTGAGTCTCTCTCTCTCTCTCTGTGTCTCTTACAGAGGTCCTATGCTCTATGGGGATGGTGCAACAGCTCGTGTCTCTCATCCAGGCAGAACACGAGGCCTTTCACGAGCACGTCCTGGGAGCTCTATACAGGTACGTGAGCCTCAACACCTTCCTCCCCTCGTGGCTTCCCCTCCCTTCCCCCTCTCTCCCCTCCTCCTTTCAGTGCCCCCTCTACTCCCCCCCACCACCCCCCCTCAATCTCTGTCTATTCCTCCCTCTCCTTCCACAAGATCATGTGCCCTCCTGTGGCCAAGTGCGAACTTCACGTGAGTGCATGTCTGAGCAGCCTTTCTCCCTGTCGCTCCTCTCTTCTCTGTCACCCCCTCCCCAATGTCTCCGCGTCTCAGCCTCAGTCAGGACATTTGCCTGTTGTGTCACAGCCTGGTCAGTCACTTTCCCCGGGGAGTGAAACAGTGCAAGATCCCGGAGCTGGGCCTGGAGAACATTCTGATGGAGCGAGTGAGAATGCTGAAGAACCAGGAAGAGTTTCAGGTGCGTGCAAGAAAGAGGGTTATCTTGGTTTCTTCCCCCCATTCGTCCTTCTCCTTGGGAATAATCAATAATATAACCGGGGGCGTGAGCTGAGGGGCTAGGCTGTTGTTTCAGTGCGGTGCTGGTGGCTGCGGTGCTGGGGGTGGGGGATATATTGTCGGAGGTGTTAACCCAAGCACATCTTTGAGACGTCTCAAACTGCTACACAGAATATGCTGTAAAGTGAATTGACTGCACATTTTGTGGGCGAAAATACATGACTGTTTGTTTGTTTGTTTGCAGGAGGAGTTGGATTTCTGTGAAAAGTTACTGCAAACCTGCTTCAGTGGCCAGTCTGAGGAGAACGGGATGGACCGGTGATGGTTCAAGGCACCCATTGGAGAGGACTGTTACCTGACTCTAAAGCCACCTCCACTCTCTAGCTAACCTGGACTTCTGAGGCTCCTGGCTGCTGCCCCTTGTCCAATACTAAATGTTCTGAGTATTTTCTTTTTATCTTAGGAAGTGGTTTTGAACGGGTCAGCCTCGACCGAGCAACAGAAGAGGCTCTGCACCCACACTGACTGTTATAATGCTCTTTCCCTCTCCTCTCCCTTTTTATAGTACGGTAAAGCTCACTGAGATTAAAATACAGCGAGGAGCAAGGTGAGAGCCTTAGAATTTTCTTTGGTGTATTCTTGAGTTTCTGGGGGCGAAAAATTGCACCTTTTACTCCCCTCCTCTGTCTCTCAATCTATCCGTCTTTCTCTCGGTATCTCCTTCCATCAGTTCTGTGTATGTCATCCGCTCTCCTGTGGTCACAGATGTGAACTTCGCCCTTGCGTGTGGATGTGAACAGCCTCTTTGACCGTAAGGGGCATCACAGCCATGTCATGACTATGTTGGGAGAGGGATGCCTGGCTGAATGTTTTTACCCTCTCCCCTTTGAGGCCAATTGTATCCCCAACAACTGTACAGCAGCTCGAGATGTTCTTTTGACTGCGTGGCAGGTTTAATGTTTTCTCTGCCTGACGTAAGCTAACAGAACGCACACATCCCAAAAATCCAACCAGACTGTTTAATTCCCCATGAATAATTGACCGTCGTTTCCATTGTATTTATCCGAACTGGTGACTTTATGAGGGCAACGACCCCTGAAAAGCTTTGCCGCGTTTCGAACCCGCTCCGAGAGGCAAGAACCACTTAATGTAAAGAGTTTATGAATAAAAAGATGCAAAATGTGTTTTGTTTTGTGTTCCTAACCAGTTAACAACGAGAGCTTGCCTTTACACGGGTGCCTTCAGGCGAGAGAGTGTCTCGGAGCTCTGAACAATAGTAAACTTTGGGGGGGGATGGGGGGGTGCCAGAGGAGATAATCATCTTCCTACCCCTGCCCTCACCCCCTCCTGAATCCAACCCCCAGATTGGAATGCAAATGCTGGACTGTCCAGCGCTTTGGGACGTGAAAGGCGCAATATAAACACAATTTGTTGTTGCTGTAGCTTGATGCTGAGCCGGAGAGAAAGGGGAGGTGGGGTCAGGAACGGTCATAGGGAATAGTCTTCAGGTGCAAGCTGAACATAGCGGGGAAGGCAGATGGATTGGGACCCGGAACTCCCAGAGGGTCACAGTGTGGGGGCTGGAAGCACCGATGCCAATGGTGGAGGGGAGGGATTGAGGGACACAGAAGACCCAAGCTGGTGGGTAGGGGAGTGAGGTGGGGTGGGGTCCATTACAAATGGAAGTTTCAATGGGATCCTCGTGCATTTTGGGAGGTCCTCTTCACGTGAAATAAATGAGCATTGTATTGCAGTCTGAGGTCTGAAATAATAATAATAAGGTGGGGGGGTGGCAGGCGGGGGGGTGAGGGGTGGGGATCGTAGCATCACAGTACGGCGCCGAAGGAGGCCATTCAGCTCGCGTCGTGACTGCGCGCGGGCTCTTTGGGCAGAGCTACCCAAATCAATCCCATTCCCCCCTCCCTCCCTCCCTCCCCCATAGTCCTCCCCCCTCTCCAAAAAAAATAATAATTAACCACAATGATTTAAGGTCCAATTGACCAAACAGTCTAATCATCTCATCCAAAGTCTTGAACCCCCCCAATAACAACCCCCCCCCAATAACACCCCCCCCAATAACAACCCCCCCCAATAATAACACCCCCCAATAACAACCCCCCTCAATAACAACCCCCCCAATAATAACACCCCCCCCAATAACAACCCCCCCAATAATAACACCCCCCCCAATAACAACCCCCCCCAATAACAACACCCCCCCAATAACAACCCCCCCCAATAACAACCCCCCCCCAATAACAACCCCCCCCCAATAATAACACCCCCCCAATAACAACCCCCCCAATAACAACCCCCCCAATAACCCCCCCCAATAACAACCCCCCCCCAATAACAACACCCCCCCCCCATAACAACCCCCCCCAATAACAACCCCCCCCAATAACAACACCCCCCTCCCCTTTGAGTCAGACTCTGGCACTGAGTGACACACACGTTGCCCCTTTATGTAAAGGGGGAGGAGTTTTGTTTTCTTGCCAACGAGGTGAGTAGTGGGCGGAGTCGGGGCAGGATGGCCCTCCCCACCCCCCCCCCTCCCCCTCGCTTCGCATCAGCGCGGTGCGCTGTGGGACGTCGGAGGACCGCTCGGCGGCCATGTTGACGAGGGACGGAGCAGGAGGCGGCGGCGGCGGCGGGCGGTAAACGGCGGACACCGAGCCCCGGGGAGAGAGAGAGAGAGAGAGCGCGCGCGCGCGAGAGTGACACACACACAGCGACACCGGCCGCCATTACCGCGTCCCCTCTCCCTTCCTCGTCGACGTTTTTTTCCCCCCCCTTCCCCCCCCTCCCCCACCGCCACCCCCTCAACGCGCGCGTAAAACCCTTTTTTTTTTCGCGGCGGCGGCGGGAAATAGACCGTTGTCTCCCCCCCCCACCCCTTAATTTTTTTCCCCCCGCGGGTGAGGTGAGGGGTGAGAAAAAAACACCCCCCCCCCCACCCCCCCTCATCGCGAGGCCTAGCGGGGTCTGGCTCATCCCCGGACTTTCCTGGAGCCAGTGGCCGGGGGGAGGAGGGGAGTTACTGCTGAGGGAGGGGGTGGTGGTGGTGGGGGGGGGACCTGTGTGAGGGACTGAAGGCGCCCAATGCAGACTCTCCTCGGCCACCGGTTGCCTTTCGCATTTTCACCCCCGTCTCCATCCGGCGGCGAAGGTTCGGCTTCTCCTCCTCCTCCATCATCGCCGCCGCCGCCGCCATCATCATCATCGTCATTCATCATCAGGCAGTGGATTGCTCAGTGGCCTTTGAATTGAAAAGTAAGTAAAGTCGCTCAGGTCGGCAGCCTCTTCCTGTTACTCTTTGCCCCCCTCAGCCCCTCACCGCACAACCACCACCACCCACTCCCCTCCCCCCCCACAGCGGAATAATTTGGCCCTCCCCCCTTCGCGTGCGGTGGCGGAGGGGGCGGGAGGGAGGGAGGGGGGGTGGGGGGAACGGACGGCATCGCCGGGCGCAGTCGCCCGCGCGGGCGGAACGCGCGCCGTCGGTTCGCTTGCATCCCGCGAAGCGCCTTTGAGAAGCCGCGGCCGCGCGAGAAAGGCGCTGCGGCGAAGGCGAGGGTTGTTGTTCTTGTCGTCGTCGTCGTCGCCGTTGGTTGAGGACGCGGGGGCGGGGGCGGCGAGGTCCGGGTGGGGGGGGTGGGTGGAGGGGTATGTGTGTGTGGCGGGGAAAAAAAGGCATCGCTGTGTGCATTTGTCCGCCGTGTTTTGCCCACAAGTGAGGCTTCTTCAGGGAGGGAGGGAGAGAATGGAGTGCTTCCCAGTCACACCATCACCCTTCGGCCCGTCTGAGATCTCGGTCCAACCGTCCCATTTCCCGTCCCCACCATATCACAGCACCGAGCTGCTTTTTAAATGAGCGCCAGGGTCCTGGGCCCCTTCCTGGGAACCCTGTTCCAAGTCAGTGTTTCGCCTCACAAAATACACAGTCACTCCCAACTTTACAGTAGAATCTGTGAAGCGCTTTCAGACGTCTCAACGACGCGATAGGGCGCTGTATCAGTTGCAAGAGTTATTATTATATTTGTATTTTAAAGTCTTCCCACTTCCCGCACCCACGCTTCGCTGAGCTCTGGCTCTCTATTTATTTGTGTTGCTAAAAAAAAATGCACTTGCTTTTAGACTTCTCAAGGCCCATCTGTTTCGCCCGCCCCCAAAACCCCTCAAGTATCTGCAAGTGGGTGTTTGCCTGCCAAAATACCCAGTCACCGTAATTTTACACAGCAGTCAATCCCAGAGATATCCTCATGATGTAAAACGACAACAAGGAATGGGGTTCCCAAGGGGGTGGGTGGGGACAAGACGACCGTAGTGTTGGCCGGGTACTTGCGATGTCACAGCCTGTCCTCACTGCAAAGCTGATCAGCAGCAGGAACCAACTCACCCCCCCATAACCCAGGGTACTGAGCCCACTTATAGCTGTCTTCGATCAGCTAACTCACTCACCAAGGACAGGGTTCGAACCTGAGATTCTTTTGACTCCAGAGCGTTGTGCTGCACCATTGAGCTTCTCCCCATAAAACCATCAGGGAAACTGGAAATACAATGAATCATATGGGAAACTGACTGATTGCCCGCTCTCCCTGGCTGTATCCCAGGGAGAGCGGACAATGCAAGCGAGTTTCGAAACGATAACCTGTTTTGTGTCAGTGTTTGTCAAACAAACACAACTAAAGCTGTCACCAAGTCAGCTGAACCAAGGCGGTCGCTTCTGCGATCAGGTGCCCTCGAATGTGATGCAAAGAGTACTGTCAGGCACAGAAGGTATGTCCGAACCCTGTCCTTGGTGAGTGAGTCTGGTCTGGGGGTCGCTGTGTACATTGAGTGGACTCTTGTTCTCCACACCCCCCCCACCCCATCACCTCTTATGACACCCGACAACCCGAACCCTGAGAACAAGTGAGAGTCAGTCAGCAGACTGTTGGGGAATGGGGAAGAGACATAGCGGCCAAGCCTGATAAAGCTTGCCTGATTTTTCCTCTCCACACCCCTACCCCCACCCCCCCAGCCCAGAGGGTAACTGAGGCCAGTGGCTAACGTAGCCAGTCAACGCTACGCATTCTGAGATGCTGCCTCGCATGAGGGGCACTATGTAAATGCAAGTTGTTGTTGATCAGTGCCCTCCCTGGCGTGTATGGCTCTGCCACTCCCTTGATAAACTCTCCCATCAGGATTATGTGACGCTAGATACTTTAAATATTTTATATCGATAAGAGGCATTGCCGTAAGTTTGTTGAGTCACTTATTGGAGAAAGAAATGTTCAAGGTTTATTGGAAACAATTCTTAATGATAAGAGTGTCTTTGAGTGTGGCAGGTCCGTGGTGGGTGGGTGTGTGTGTGTGGGTGGGTGTGATGCTGCAAGGTTGCATGTAACCAGGAAATAAGCCTGAGATGAGGCCTGAACACTTGTGCATTGGTTTAAGTAGCTCAGAGAATGTTCATACCTAACCGCTGTGCTTTAGGAGAGCAGAGGGGAAAGTGGGATTGTATGGTTAAGCTCCTTCGGTCGTCCTCCTGACGTGGTAGACGCTTTGTAAACTTGTATTGTGGTCTGGACAGCAGAGGAAGAGAGCCGTGGTCCGTTTGCAGGAGGAGGGGACTTTTGAGGCTTAATTTTGCAGGCCCGCTTGTGTGACACTGCCTTGCCTGAAATTCCCCCTAGTCTTAGCCTAGAAGGCCAGCTTGGGGCAGAATTGTGGAAAGTTAGCCTTGATTTGAAAGCCGTTTTTCCGCGAGGTTAAAAAGATTTCGATGGGGAATTTCGATGGGGGAGGGCGCGAGTGTACATTTCAACAGCTGAGTTTCAATCTTGCCCTCGCCTGATGTGTCATCTCTGGAGGAGAGAGATCAGGAGGAGTGGGAACCCTGACAGATTCTCTTCCCCGCTTTGCTAAGGGACATGTGGCTCGATTGGAGCCCCAGCCCAGGGTGGGCTCAGCTCACAGCACAGAGAGCTAGCTGTGCAGTCTTAACGTCGAGCTGACTTTATTCCGTTGTGACATTACGTCAGGAAGCAGACTGTTGATATTCAAAACGCATCAGGAAACACTGCAATTTCCTTTTATTGCGTGGTTAGCAATCGTCCTGTTACACTGAATCCAGCAGCGTGGGGGTGGGGGCTGCTCATACAAACCTAATGCACGGCGGTTTCTTCTCTCGTACCCTATTTTCCTGGCTATGAAATCCTCCGGCTTTGCGAAGCACGGCAATCTAGCTACGACCTCCTGTAACTGGAGTGCCGCTGTTGGTTGTTGAGGAGGGCCTGTCTTTTTGGGTGGGCAGGGTGGTGGTGGTGGGGTGGGGGTGGTAAATAGAGGAAATGTAAGCCTGTTTTGTAGGCGGGTGGGGTTAGGAGCTAAAGAGAGGAAGAGCTGTAATCGGAAAGTAAATAGGAAGTGAATGAGGCAGCACACGCTGTCCGTGGGGGTGAGAGGGCAGCCTTGACTGGTCACTGCCTCCAGCTGGCTGGCTTGTCGAAAAATCTCCACCTTTGGTCTGCTTTTTACCCTCTTCCTTCCCCTCTGCCAGCTGATTCCATTCTGTGCCAAGTCCACCTGCTCAGGAACAGGAAGGAGTCAGCCCTGGACGCCAGCATTTTAATCTAGCTTATTGGCAATGCGTGTGGGTGAACGAACATGCCTTAAAAATAACAACTACTTGTATTTTTGTAAGGCCCTTCAGGCGGGTAGCATCTTGGAGCGATTGCATTAAAACTTGCGCTCCAAAGCGTCGGCTGATCCTGTGCTGAAGGGAAGCTTTGGTATATCTTCTGTGCAGGTTGAAGGCAACAACTTGCATTACCGTTACCCCTCACTCAGAGTAGTGCCTCAGAGCGCTTGCCAGTGGCAGAGAACGACGCCTGGGCCGGGGGGAGGGGGAGGGGGGTGGGGAGATGACCGCCTGAGAAGATTTTCAGGGGCCATCTGAAAATGGGGAAGGATGGGGACAAGGTGGAGGGGATTGAGGGAGAGTTAAGTTAAGGCTCAGTGATTGGGGTGAGGGGATTGTATTAGAACCCTAGAAATTTACAGCACAGAGGAAGTCCATTCGGCCCATCGTATCCGCTGGTTATTTTAAGAACAATCCTTTCAGTCCCATCAACCTGCTCATATACCCCTATAGTTAACTCCTTTTTATCTAGATCTCTCATGTCTTTCTTCTCTGTTGAAATGATCCTTGCATTAGATACAAGCCCCTATGATGTTGAATTATGACTAAGCCCTTCTGTGAAGTGTAGTGACTGTGGTCTAGGAGCAGCTTGAGGCCTGGACAATGGATTGAGTGGTTGTGGGTGGATGGGTGGGGGGGGGGAGCGGTTATAAACGGTGCCTCGGGGGAAGGCACTCGCGTCCTCTCTTTACCTGTTCCCATTGAGTCGCTGGCCTGAGCTGCTGCTTGTTTGACGAAGCATCACAGGAATGTACCGTAGTAACTCTGCTATCACGCAGCTTGACGTGTGCAGTGTAATCTAGAATGGAGCATTCCTGCCATGGTTCGTTCGTTGGTTGGTGGCAGGCAGCCAAACTGATAGCTCATGTGCTCTGTGGCCTCTCAGAGGTTTCCCCCTCATGGGAGAAGGAAGAACTTGCGCTTCCATAGCACCTTCTCAGGTCCAAACATGCCCAAAGCACTCGCAGGCAACTGCTGTCAAGTGTAGTGACTGTTGTAAGGCAACCATTTGCACAAGGCAAGGCCCCCACAAACTCACTCCCCCATTGTCACTATGGGATCTCTAATGTCCGCCCGAACAGGCAGAGCTGGAACCTCGAATTAACATTGCAAGCAATAAACGGCTTCCCCTTCTCCCCCCACACCGCCCCACCCGGTTAATACGTCGGAGTATCGGCCAAGATTGGGCGGTCAAAGTGCTGAGATAATGTTGATAATAATACTAATAATCTTTCCCTTTGATACAGCGCCTTGTCACGTGCTTCACAGCTTCACTGTAAAGTGGAATGACTGTGTATTTTGCGGGCGAAACTCAGCAGAGAGGGCCAGAGCTCACCACAGTCCGAGTGCTGGCTTGCTTCCTTCCCGTCACAAAGCATCTCAGCCTTGCCCTGTGCTCTCGTTATCCTGCTTTCTTTTTTTCTCACTCTCTCTCTCACTCTCTCTCTCTCTCTCACTCTCTCTCACTCTCTCTCTCTCTCTCTCTCGCCTAATTCGCTGTTCAGTGACAATATAGTGGTTCCTGTTTTAGATTGACGGTGTGTGCTGGGTCAGTTGGCGAGTTTGCTCGCTGAGTTCAGCTCTCGGCAGCGGCAGCTGAGCAGCTTTAACATTGGGTTGTTTTGACGTTAAACAAGTCTTTTTTTTTTTACGATGTAAAAAAACACGACACGCCACGCCGGGCCGGGCCGGGCTCAGCAGATTCTTCCCATCTACAGGAGAAGCGAGCGCGCCCGCGTGCGTGTGCCTTTGGGTCTGACCGTACATAAAGCACCATTTAAGGTAACTGCACAGTAAGAGCCTGTGTTCGGGCGGAGGGCTGAATGGCTTTGTGCTTAAAGCCATCTTCGAGCCATGGGTGCCACCAGCTTGTCACCTTGGCTCACTTATCCCTCTGGGTCAGAAGTAGAGCCCTGTAGCGTAGTGGTTAGAGCGCTCACCTCGCAAGCGAGAGGAACCGCGTTCGATTTCCGGGCTGGACGGGGCCAGACCTTACTCCACACACATGCCTCGGTTTACCTAGCGGTAAGTCGGTTATTATTCGATTGGCGCATCTTCAAAAAAATAATAATAATAATTTGGTCATTCAGTCCACCGATTTTGTTTGAGGGACTTTGCTGTGCACAAAATCTACAGTCAATCCTCTTCACAGCATATTCTGCGAAGCGCTTTGAGACGTCTCAAAGATGTGATAAGGCGCATCACATGCAAGGATTATTATTATTGTTATAAGGAGGTCGGTTCAAGGCCTGTTTCTCGCGCTGTTCTTCAGATGAAACCTTAAATAATAATAATATAATAATAATAATCCTTGCATTTGACATAGCGCTTTTTACATCTTCCCGACGTCTCAAAGCGCTTCAAAGAATGTACTGTAAAGTGAATTGACTGTATATTTGTGGGTGGAAAGCGGCAGCCAATTGCGCACAGCAGCGTCCCCACAAACAGTCGTGCATTGAAGTGACCAGTTTTATTATTTTTTTCTTGAGGGATTATTATCACTCGTGTGGAGTAAGGAAACTTGCCCTAAATCCAGGTCTTGTCCGCCAGATGAAGAAATGCCACTGCTCTGTTAGCAACGAGAAGGCATCGTCTCACCCACCAGTGTCCTGGCCAACAAGACACCAGATAAATGAGCTGTTCACTTAATGCCTGTGTGTGTGCAGATTGGCTGCCTTGTTTGACTAACCAACACACACCGAAGGTGTTCTGAAGCGTTCCCCAATAGTGAAAGCCTTCAGAAAATGGAGGGAAGAGGGAAAGTATTCGAGTGAGCACACTCGAGTAAAAAATAAATCCTGCCCCTTAACGGGGGATTCACAAGGTTGCCGGAGTAGGAAGGAGAGCTGTAAATAACTGGGGCACTTTCCGAGTAGGTCGACCGGATTGCACACTGCAGTCGTGAAGCCCTCCCTTTTGCTTTCTGATCTGCTTGGAAATGGGACAGGAGGCACTTTCTCTCTCGCGCTCTCTCTCTCTCTCTAAACACTGCTCTCCTCCGTCTCTGTCCTTGATGTTAACCAGGGCTCCAGCCTCTCAGCGCTGTTGCTTGCTTCTAACCCTCCGCATATTCCACCGCAGTTTTCTATTAATGTCTCTTGCTTTTCATACAGGCGCTATATATAGTGCGAGAGTCAAACTGTCAGACACCTCTTAAAGCTTCCAGGCTCCCCTGTTTGTGGGACATTACTTACCCAAATTGGCCGCCCTGTTTGCCTCCAAATTTACACTTAAATCAAATCTCTGTGAAGTGCTTTGTGATAATGATTATGACAATCCTTCCACCTCATCACGTCGTTGAGAAGTGTCAAAGTGCTTTATAGGATACGCTGCAAAGTGGATTGACTGTATATTTTCTGGGAGAAACGCGGCAGTAATGTTCCCACAAACAGCCGTGGGTTGTGGGAGCGGATTTGTTTTTGTCAATGTATTTAAGAGAAAACTTGATACGTACAACAACAGCAGCAACAACAGCTTGCATTTATATATAGCGCACTTCACGTGGGGTAGTGTTAGATGGTTTGACAGTCTCGCCTGTGTATCAAATGCTCGGATTTTATATATCTGGTGAACGCACACTATGAGTAGAACACTGGTTAATGTCTTGCCCACCCCTGGGAAGAGAGAGGACAATTTTAGCACTCTCTGTACTGCACTGGCCGAGATTGAGGACCTAAACTAAACACAGATGTAATGTACAGCACGCAGAGCAGGGAATCAATGCCTCTGTGTGGATGAGGGGAGCGAGAGAGAGCGTTTGGTACCACTGATTTGCCCTCAGTAGACTTGCCTGCATCTCCGTGGCTTAGTCAAGCATAACGACACCTTGCAAGTTGCCGCATAAACTAATAATAATCCTTCCTTTGGATATAGCGCCTTACCACTTCGTTGGGACTTCTTAAAGCCCTTCATAGGGTAATACTATAAAGTGGATTGACTGTATTTTGTGGGCCATTTGAGCACAGCAGTGTCCCACAAACAGTCGTGGATTGAATAACCACATTTTTTTTTGGGGTGGGGGGAAGGACTATTACCAATCGACTGACAACTGGGTTCCTACTTGCTGGGTAAACAGGCGTGTGTGTGAAGTAAGGAAACTTGGCCAATGTTTCGCCCTGCCCAGGAATCGAAGCCGGGTCTTCCCACTTGCGAGACGAGCGCGCTAACCACTGCGCTATAGGATTCCACAAACTGGTCACGGGAGAGAGAGAGAGAGAGGGAGAGAGTGAAACTCCCTGAATAGGGTTACTGAACAGTTTGATGAAATCTCAGTGTAACGCCTCCGACTATGTAGCACTCCTCCCCTCTCCTCACAATACCCACCCCCACGGTATCAGTCCTGGCTGTGAACTCACAAAGTCCTACCGTGGGGCTTTCCTTCCCCCCCCCCCCCCCTCTCATGTGGACATTAAATGAGTGCAGAGTCAGGCTGGGCCGCAGTGTCTCAGGGCAGGGTCTCGGAGCACGTCACACGGCTTGCGGTTTGGTCGGAGGTGGGAGGGGTGTGGGTCGGGAGGCTTTGTCTCCCGAGTTTGTAACGACCTTTGACAATCTGGGAATACGTGGCTGTCATTTGCGATCGCACGTTCAGTCCACGTCCCACTGCCCCTTCCCTCCGGCTCCCTCGGAAAACGTGTCAGCTTCTTCGGTGAATGACGAAGAAACTTGTTTTTTTTTGGCCGAGTAGCGGTGGCGTGGGTGGGTGGGTGGGTGGGATGGAGGGTGGGTAAGAGCGTTCCGTGAAAAAAGAAACATAAGTCGCTGTGTGGCTGGACCCACGTGATCCTAAAACCTGTCGCAATGCCGAGCTTGAGCTAAACGTCAACCTTTACCCCCTGTTGCTTACACAGCTCCACACAGTGAGCGTCCCACCCTCGATCTCACTGGTAGTCCAGCGCCTTTCTCCGCGCTGGCACGTCCCGTGGCTCAGGACAATTAAACAATAGTAATCCTTGCATTTGATCCTTATCACGTCGTTGAGACATCTCAAAGCGCTTCACAGGATACACTTTAGGGGGTATTGACTGCCAATTGCGCACAGCAGCGTCCCCACAAACATCGAGCGACCAAATTATTTTTTGAAGGGATTATTATCTGCAGATAAGGGATAAGGGATCCGTCAATCGACTATCAGCCAGGTTCCTACTTACTGCTAGATAAACAGAGCCGTATGGAGTGAGGAAACATGCCCAACATTTTGCCCTGCCCAGGAATTGAACCTGTCACTCGCTCTCGAGGCGATTACTCTAACCATTGAGCTACAGGACTCCACAGATGTCAGTTCACTTGGGGACCACTTTGATAATAATCCTGGCATCTGATCCAGCACCTTATCACGTCTCTTCGAGGCGTCTCAAAGCGCTTCACGGCATATGCTGCAAAGTGCAGTGACTCTGTGTTTTGTGGGCGAAACGCTACGTACCCAGATCACTGAGCTGTGCTCGTTGCCCTTTTTCCACAGCGCATCATGTTTTGGAAGTTCGACCTCCACACCACGTCGCACATCGACACGCTGCTGGAGCGGGAGGACGTGACGCTCTTCGAGCTGATGGAGGAGGAGGACATCTTGCAGGAGTGCAAGGCTAACAACCGCAAGCTCGTGGAGTTCCTCACCCGGCCTCACAACATGGAGGCCCTGGTCACCTGCATCACCCAGGAGCCGTCCGAAGACATGGACGAGAAAGTCCGCTACAAGTAAGGGGGTGGTGGGGGGGGGGCGAGGACGGGATGCAGGGCAGTGTTGGATAGAGAACTCTGTAGCTACTAACTGACCGGTGGATTGTGGCTTACTCACTCCCCCACTCACTCATTCACACCCACTCGCTCACTGCTTCACTCTCTCTCACTCACTCATTCACTCTGTTTCTCTCCCTAACTCACTCTCTTTCTCTCCCTCCCTTTCGCTCACTCGCTCTTTCCCTCCCTTACTCCTGGAGAGCAGATTAGCGAGCGCCAAGGCTTTGGGTTCCCAGCCCTCAGTGTGTTGGGGTAACTGCTGCGGTTTAACCAGCTAAAACCACACACACACAAAAAAAAATAATAATAATTTGGTCACTCAAAATCCACCATCTGTCTTCATAGCTGGAGTCATAACCAGATGTGTGTGTGGTCTCGGCTGACGCAAGCTTTATGGTGGGGGGGGTGGGGTGAGGGTTGGGGGAGAGGAGGGGTGCTCATAGGAACATAGGAACTGGAGTAGGCCATTCAGCCCCTTGAACCTGTTCCGCCAATTACTTCTGCTTTTGTTCTGGACACTGCAGCTCCTGCAGGCTCTGGGTGTGAGTTGTGGTGACACTCAGGTGCAGGACGTCACTGTGTGGGGGCGGGTAGTGGTGAGTTGCACTCTGGGTTCAGCGTCTGCAAATAAACCCAATATCCTGTGAGTTTCCATCTTATTAGTCCTGTAGCTCAGTGGTTAGAGCACTCGCCTCACAAGCGAGAGGACCCGGGTTTTGCTTCCCGGCAGAGCGAAACGTTGGTCAAGTTTCCTTACTCCGCACCCCTCTATTTACCCAGCAGTAAGTAGGGAACCAGTTGTTAGTCTGGATCACTTTTCCGGGAGCAATAAACCCTTCCAAAAAATAAATAGATAATCACAATTTGGTCACTCACTCAACCTACGACTGTTGGTGGGACACCGCTGTGCGCAATTGCCGGCTGCCTTTTGCCTATAACATATACGGTCAATTCACTTTACAGTGTATTCTGTGAGGAGCGTACTGTTTCCCAAGCCTGAGCTGTTCATGACCAGTGGTGTCGTTGCTCGTCGCACATGCCAGGAGGTGCTTTGTTATGCATTGGATGGGTAGTATGGGTGGGAGAGAAGCCATTTATTCTCCAGTTGCTATTAAGCTAACGGGGGTCAATTGATTGTGAAATGGGACTGATCGATCCCTACTTGAACTCAGGCAGCGACAGCTGCGGATTAACACAGGCCGTGCCGGCCAGCGCAGTGAGAGGAGGAAATTCCGAGCTTGGATAAAGTCGTGGCTCCGTGTTCTACTTTGGGCCCTTGAGCGCACAGTGCAGTCTGACATGACACCACACTGACAGCAGTGCTGGGAGGGGAGTGTGTGCGTATGTGTGTGGAGGGGGGAGAGAGAGAGCTCTGGATTATCAGGGGCATCGTCCTTCGATCCGGGTATTAAACCAAGCTCCCATCTGTGTCTCGTTCAGGCAGACGTTTAAGATCCCGTCAATGAGAAACAGAAGGGAGTTTCTCTTTCTCTCTATCCCTCTTCTGTATCCATCAGATAATAATGAATAATAATGCGTGTATGTGCCTAAACATGCACGTAATAATATTAATCCTTGCGTTTGATGTAGCGCCTTATAACGGCTCAAAGCGCTTCACAGGATTTACTGTAAAGTGGAGTGATTGTGTATTTTGTGGTACTTCACTTCATGGCTGTTTGAGGGATGGGGTCGGAGTGCGAACTGCTTTGAAAAGTCACTTTGAGGCGTTACAGCATCGACAGGGTTGAATCAAATGCGAGGCTAATTGTTGCTTAACAAAGGGCTTTGAGAGAGGGTGTGTGACACCCGAGGTGCTGTGTTTCAGGTACCCCAATATATCCTGTGAGATCCTGACGGCGGATGTGATGCATGTAAACGACGCTCTGGGTGAGGACGAGGGCCTATTGAGCCGTCTCTACGGCTTTCTGCAGAATGACAGCACACTTAACCCTCTGCTGGCCAGCTTCTTCAGTAAAGTCATGGGTATCCTCATCAATAGGAAGAGTGAACAGGTAAGTCACCTTGCCTTTCCTCCTCATCCCATCCTCCTTATTTTTAGTTCCGCAAGGTGGCACGAGTCATAACGGCTGTGAGAGACAACCACAAGTATATCACCTTGTCGTGTGGGTGGGAGAGTTAAACTTGTGGCTGGAGGTTGTGCAGTTAGAAATATAGAAACAGGAGTAGGCCACCGAGATCCTCGAGCCTGTTCCGCCCTTCTATAAGAGTACGGCTGATCAGTACCTCAACCTCAATTACCCACCTTTGCCCTGTGACCCTTAAGACCCTGACCTAACAAACGTGGGGGAGTTGGAGCAAGTTCAGTGATATAAAGCCTGGCTCACGCTCCACCTCTGGGTCAGAAGGTGATGGATTTGTTAGTGAAGTGCCTTGGGACATCCTCCCGATGTGCAAGGCGCTGTGTAAACGTGAATCTGTATTGTGTACTATTTCGTGAATGTGTTTTGAATTTGACTTTGCTTGCGTTCGGCAGATAGTGGATTTTTTACGAAAGAAGGACGATTTTGTAGCCTTGCTGTTGAAACACATAGGAACCTCAGCCATTATGGACCTTTTGCTGCGTCTCCTCACCTGTGTAGAGCAGCCCCAACTCAGGCAGGACGTGTTGAATGTAAGTCCTTTCCATTCTTTCGGGTGAGATGTGCCTCTGCTCCCATCTCCCTCCCTCCCTCTCTCCCTCCCTCTCTCTCTATCTTTCTCTCACTCTCTCCGTCCCTCCGCCTCTCTCTCTCCTCCCTCCCCTGCGTCCCTCCGCCTCTCTCTCCCTCTCTGTCGCTCTCTCCATCCCCCACCCACCCCGGCCCTCTCTGTCTATACACTTCCCTTGTTCTGTCCGCACATTTAAAGCCAAGGAACAAGCCGTTTGAGTTGTTCCACTCTGCCCTAACTCTCCCTCTGGCTTGTGTTTCCATCAGTGGCTAAACGAAGAGAAAATCATCCAGAGACTCATCGAGATGATCCGAAGCTCCAGAGACGAAGACGTGAGTAAACTGGCCTCGCCCTCCCGCCGTGTTCCTCAGACGTCACACTCCGTCTCGCGCTGAGCTGGACAAGGGACTGTTCCCGAGCGCGTAGGAAACGGCTTCAAAGGCCTGACAGGGTTAGGCGGGCCCTGGGAGGCTGGGGCAACCTCTGATCTGTTGCCAGTGGCCTGAGATCCAGAGGATCAAAGGTTCAATGTGGATCATCACTTCTTCAGACAGTGTCTATTTTATATATCAAAAGAGGATTTTGGAACTGGCTTGGGTGTGAGTGTGCACCATTCCCCGGTCCTTCTTCCCTCTTCACCTCCAGCCTCCCCACCTTACCCGCTCCGAGACGCTGCCCCGAGTGGAGGGCGCCACATAAATGCAGAGTGGCTGATGTTGAACGTGCTTCCGGTTATCTAGTAAGATTTCGAGCTTCGTGTCAGGAGTTTGTGCTCACAGTCCAGGCTGCGGCTCCACTGCAGTGCTGGTGGGCGAGAGGAGAGAGCTGGAGGTGCCGTCCTTCGGGTGAGACGTTAAACCTTGCTCCCCCGTCAACCCTGTTCAGTTGGATGTTAAAAATTCCTCCCCCCCCCCCTCCCCCCAATCCACAGGCACTGTTGGAAAAGAGAAGAGTTTCTCTCTCCCGGTGTCCTGACCAACAATCAGATAAAATTGTTCCTGGCCTGTTTGTGGGGACATTGCTGTTTGCAAAGTGCCCACAAAACAGTCACTACACTTTACAGTACGTCAGGTGAAGTGCATTTAGACGTTCTCCGACGTGTGAGGCGATGTACCAAACTTGAGGGTTATTATGTTGAACCTAAGTGTAACCTGGTGATGTTTTCTTCTCCCTGTGATCTCTCTCTCTCTCTCCCCCTCCCTCCCTCCCTCCCGCGTGTGCAGCAACACTCGAATGCTTCGCAGTCGCTGTGTGACATTATCCGGCTGAGCCGTGAACAGATGATTCAGATCCAGGACAGCCCTGAGCCAGACCAGCTGTTGGCCACACTGGAGAAGTAAGTGGCTTTGAGCGTTGGCGAAGGGCAGGAGCCTCGCGGATGAAATAGTCTCCCCTCACTTGAGCCCTTTAACTCCAGTGTTAGAGCAAGGCTCTGACCCGCTGACCCCATAACAACCTGCCCGCTCCCTCCGCTCAGCAGGCTCTGACCTGCTCACAGTAGGATCACAGATACACCAGGTTGCTTTCGAAGTGTAGTGACCGGTCTGTAGCAAACACGCACGGCAGCAACAGTGTCGAGATGAATGGACAGGTACATAGGAACAGGATGAAGCCATTCAGCCCCTCGAGCCTGTTCTGCCATTTCGTTAGATCGTGGGCTGATTTTTCGCCTCGTAGCGACCTGTTTGTGGGGCCTCGCTGCGCGCAAAATGGCGGCCACCTTTGCTGAGCAAAAAAAACAGTCACGTGCATTTAGAGTAACTAACTAAGAAGCACTTTGATGTGAAGGCTGTGATATCAAAGCCATTGTTTTTCTGTCACTCTCTGTCAGCGCATCCTGGGACTTCTGCGCTCTCTCTCTCTCTCTTTCCGCCTTCCTCCCAAAGCACCGAGTGCCCGTTTAGCCCAACTCCGGGTTGTGTGTGTTGGAATCTGCTTGAGCACTCCCAGTCTCTCCCTCTCTGCTGATCCGCAACAATCAATTCCTCTCCTATCTGCACTTATGGGCGATTTACAGCTGGTAATCTGATCAGCTCACAAAGCTCTCTCTCTCTCTCTCTCTCTTGCTCAGTAGACGTGGGAGTCCCAGGCTGCCATATTGCTGCATTGCACAATTATTCTGAATGAATAATTCAAATGGTCACATCGAGAAGTGGACAACTCCCCTCCCCTGGGTTAATCGCGCTCGAGCTGTCCCGCTCTGCTCCCTGTCCGTGAGCAAAACGGGGACAGGAGGAGGCCATTCAGCCCACACCGAGCCTGTTCCCTGTAGATTTATTTTTACTCCCAGTGCCCTTTCGCCTTACCCTCTTAATACAAAATCCTGCAAAGCACTTTGAGACGTCCTCCTGATGCCAAAAACGTTTGCATCAAATTTCTGGTTTACTATTTGAACTCACTTTTTACATCCTCTTCCCCCCACCCCCCCCCCCCCCCTCCCCCGGGCTCCACAAGCTGACTTTGCGTGCGCTATTCTGTCCCCAATTCATGATCGAGTCGGGCACTGGTTGGATATTGGATGACCCAGTGTTTTTCGGGGGGTCAGCCAGGTGACCGGCATGTACGGAAACCCATCACCCCATCTGTCAGACACTCGGCTAACACCCCCCCCCCCCCACAAATTCTCTCACCATTCTCTGCATTCTCTAACCCAGTTTCCACCCGCGCGCTCTCTCTCTCTCTCGCTCGCTCCCTCCCTCTCCCTCTCTTTCCCCCCCCCCACCCCATTCTCTCTCTCTCTCTCTCTCCCTCCCCCTCTCTCTCCTCCCTGACAGTCTCTCACCGTCCTCTCTCTCTCTTTCAGACAGGAGACCATTGAGCAGCTGCTCAGTAACATGTTTGAGGACGGGGAGAGAGACGAGTCTGTTATTGTCAACGGGATCCAGGTGTTACTGACTCTGCTGGAGACCCGTCGACCCCGGTAAGTAACCCCCAACCCTCCTCAAGTACCCCTCCCTCGAGCAGTGGAGCCATGGTGGTGGGAGGGGGAGAGAGATGATGTCGCTGTGTTTGACATTCTCCCGGTAGTGTGGTCTTAAGAACTTGTCTCTCTGAGTGCATAATGTGCCTCGATTGCAGACTCCTGCTGTCTTCACTCGCCCTGCCTTCACTTAGAACTCCTCATTGCTGGTCTCTGTAACCCAATCACTCTCTGAATAAACTGAGATGGAGTGGGGGGTGTGTGGGGAGAGTTCAGTGTTGCAGCCAATCTTTTTTTGCGTGTTCTCCTCCTGATTGATTGCTTGTTCCTTGCCCCTGACGCAGTTCTGACCTGGGTGGAATGGGTGGGCTGTTTTGTAACCTGGATGGCCAGCTGGACCTGTGCACTCCTGGGTTAGACCACGCCTGCAGCCAAGTCAGCACGGGGACCCTCCAGGCCATCAAATCCCGGCTTCAGGATTTCCACCAGCTCCTGCTTGAACCACCAAAGGTAAGGCCAAACCCTAAAAAACCCTTTCTGGTGTAACGTTGATTTTAGACTTTAGTGAAGAGGTGGTTGTAGTGGAGAGGATGTTTATCATAGGATAACAGAGCCTGGGAGTGAGTGACTAGCTGGAATCTTAATCCAGAAGTTCAAAAGGGTTATAAGTGGAGCAGGATGGACCCACTGGCGGCCTGTGGGCCTTGTGCGTGTGTGCGTGTATATATACATTAATGTGGGAGTGAGTTACAGATTGGATTGTGCTGGTGAGGTGTGTTTGGTTGGTAAACATTGCCAGGAGAGGTTCCAAGACTGAGCTAGGACTTGGTGGTCAGGCATTCAACCTCTCTGCCCACCCCCCCCACACTCTGGAACTCTACCCCGCAATTCCTCCGCCCCCCCCCTCTCTTGCCTCCTTCAAGTCCCGTCTAAAGACCTTCCTCTTCGGACGCCCTTCCAACCCCACCGCCGCTCTGCCCTCCACCCCTCCTTGATCCCAACTCCCAGCTCTGGGCCAAAAATCCCTGATGACCCAGCGCCCCGGGGATGTCTTTCCGACCCGAAGGGCGCTGGCTGTACAAGTGTAAGTTGTTGTTGTTGTAGGTTTGGTGTTTGTTCTACGCTCTCTCGGGTTTTGTGCTGTGCGTGTTGTGGGCAGAACCATGCCGGACACTATTGCTGCCGTGTAGAGCAGTCGTGAGCGAGGCAGGACACCGCGAATTAAGTGTGATGTACGTTTGCTGCCCCTGACTCTTCCGTCCCAAACACTCACTTCGCTCCTTGTGGCTTTCCTCCAGAAAAGTAAGATCGTGACAACCTGGGGGTTCCTGGACCCTCCTCTGGGCAACACACGCGTTCACGTGGTCAAGCTGGTGACCAGCATGTTACAGGTTAACAACAGCGAGGTCAATCAGGAGCTGATGCAGTTAAACACGCTGGACACGCTGCTGGTGAGTGTGAGCTGGACCTAATAATAATAATACTCCTGCTAATTCTTCCATCTGATACAGCGCCTTATCGTGCCTTCGAGACGTCTCAAAGCGCTTCACAGAATATACCGTAAAGCGAATTGGCTGTATACTTTGAGGGGGACACGCGGCAGCCGATAGCGCACAGCAGCGTCCCCGCAAACAGCCGTGTGTCTGTCTCGCCAGGATCTGTACTTCAAGTACGTGTGGAACAACTTCCTGCACTTACAAGTGGAGCTGTGTATCGGCACGGCCCTGGGAAACCCTCCGATTGAGGAGTCCGCAGAGACCCCGGCGGAGAACAACGCCGAGACCGTCCGGGAAAACCCCCTCATCAAACACGTATGTGAGCGCTTTGCCCAGCGATCCTCTCTCCCCCCCACCCCCCCCCCACACACACACACACACACACACGCGCGCACGCCACCCGCTCCCTGTACACGTCACCCGTTGAAACATCTCGAAGCGCCTCACGGGATTCCCTCTCTCGCTCTCTCGTGTCTCGGTGCACGTGGCAAACGCAGCAGCGGCCGACTTGTGTGTAGCAGCAGGAGCAGCAAGAACGTAACGCCCTACGCGAAGGGCAGAGTCTCTGAGCGCTTAACATTGGCCGAGCCTGACACCGAGCCAGGCCTGGGGGTGGAGGGAGGAGGTGACCATAAGCATGGAAGAGGAAGGAGAGGAGAGAATGAGCTTTGCTGCTCACGTTAACACCCAACACCGCAGAGGGAAATAAATATTGGCTTTAGATTAACTGTTCCCCGTCTCTCTCTTTTTCTCCCGTCAGCTGTTTCAGAAGTGCCAGTTGATCCACAGGGTGGTGTCAGCGTGGGAGGAGAACGACAAAGAGCAGTAAGTACGGTCGAGGGGCGGCTCAAGCGGGCCGGGATATTCTTAAGGATTCCCCCAGGCTCGGGTCAGTCACTCGCCAGCAACCGAGCGTATCAAGAGAAAACCCGGGGGGAAAAGAAACAACTGGTAGTTTACTGAAGAAAACCGGAAGTCTACAGAGAAAAACGCTCGCCAGGAGCAACTCGGGAGTTGCGTCCGGTCGCTCACTTTAGGAAGGCCGGCAAGGCCACGGAGGGTGCGGGGCTGTGGGAAGGGATGTCGGGGGGGGGGGGGGCTGACCAAGCCTGATCTCGAGCCCGTCTCCTCTCCCGCAGGCTGGAGGGCGGCCGGAGGAAAGGCTACATGGGCCACCTGACCAGGATAGCGAACGCCATGGTCCAGAACTCAGAAAACGGCCCAAACCACAGCCTCATCGCCCAGTTAATCAAAGGTAAGGAACGGCTCAATGCAGTGTCTTGTCTGTCGTGTCCTGTGGTGTCACTGACACAACCCCCACTCCGCCCCATTTCTCCCAAAGCCCTATTCTCCCACCCCCCCAACACTCAGCCCCACCCCACCCGATGCAGTCTCCCTCATCGCCTGTATCCTCAAATCCAGTGTCACCACACCCTCTCTTTTTACATTTCTTCTCCCCCATTTCTCTCTCTTTTTGGACTCCTTCTGACCTTCCCTCACTCCAGTGCCTCCTTCCTTCCCTCCTCTTCCAACCGACAGGTCTTCAAACCCAAGTTTAGTCTCGCCTCACCGCCTGCTCCCGATTCATCGGGGCCTCACTCTCCATCTCTCTCTGCCTCAGTCTCTCAATGGCTCTCTCCCCGACTCTCTCCTAGTCTTATCAGTGTATCTCCTGGTCTCGCGGCTCCTCTCTCCGTCTCCTGCGCCAGCTCAGTGTCTCTGCTTTACCCACTGCTTTCAGAGCTGCCTGACGAGGCCCGGGAACGATGGGACAAGTTCGTGTTGGGGTCGCTGTCGGACACCAATAAGAAGAACACGGTGGATCTGGTGAGTTTCTGGATTGGATTAGGTTGCGTGCGGGTCTGTGCGATCGATCGCAGTGACGTGTCCGTGCTTTACCCACTCCCCGGGGTGGGGGAGGGAGGGAGGTGGGGGCAGGGAACAGAACCAGCCTGCTTTGGGTCATAAGAACATCAGAATTTGCTGGCGATAAAAAGACCAAGGTCCATCCAGTTTGCATTCCACCATCGTGGCACTCGCTTGACGTGTCGTGTCCCAAACTACATACTGAATCCCCCAGATATTATTTTCTAGCAGGAATCTAACTCATTTGTTCTTGCAACAAATTACACTTTCTGCTTCCACCGTCCTATCCCCCGCACCCCCCTCCCTCCGCCCCGTCCCACTATCAGCAGTCGAGCTTTTAGCCGCTCTCTGGAGCTCCATCCCACTGTCCCTCCCAACTCTCTCGCTCAGGAGCATGACTGGAGCGTGGTTTCCGAGCGGGTGATTGTTAAGGCCGGTAGAGTCGGTGGGTGGGTGTGTCGGTGGGTTGAGAGGATTTTGTCAGAGCCGTGTCCCCCGACCCTCTCTCTCTCTCTCTCTCTCTCTGGCTAAGCCTGAGGGGACCTACTCAGCACTGAATGCTCTCCCCTGTCACCCTGTCTGTTCTCAGGTGAACATGAGGAACCTGCACTCCTCCAGCGATGACGACGATAACGATTTGAAGGAGTTCAGCTTCCCACAGGAGGCCGTTCTGCAGCAGGTGAGGAGTGGGTGGAACTCTGGAACGCTCTCCCTCCGCCTTGCCCCTCTCTCTCCCTCCTTCCTTGTCGTTCTCTCTGACCTTGTGCTCCTCCACTGTCGGGCGCTCTGGGAGGCTATCCTGCGTGAGGGGCGCTGTGTAAATGCAAGTTGTTTCTCCCCCCCCCCCAGGCCTTCTCTGACTATCAGATTCAACAGATGACATCCTCTTTCATCGACCAGTTTGGCTTCAACGACGAGGAGTTTGCCGAGCAGGAGGAGAGTGTGAAGTGAGTGTTTTAACGGGAGGAGAGCAGGGTTTGGGGGTGCGGGCGGGCGGGGTGGGAGGGCACAGCACGGAGACGGAGCAGATATCTCCCCCAGAGAAGGGGCGGTTGAGGGAGGAAAATCTTTTCAAGTTAGCGAGGAGGGTGCAGGGAGCATCGAGTCATACTGAGTACGGTATCGCACTTAAGGTGCTTCACTCCACGAGTTTAACAGCCAGGACAGCGATTTCCTGTGAAGCGCTTTGAGGTGTTTTGACAGTGTAAACATTGGATGCAATGCTGGGGTTATTGACTCCCTCTTTATCTCTTCCTCTCTCTCTCTCTCCCCGTTCACAGTTCCGCCTTTGAGAGAGCGGCTAACATCAGTTTTGTGTTCGATGCCAACAGTGACGGAGTGAGTATTTGTGTCGTGTCCTGTTCTTGACAGCCAATTCCACTCACTCGGTACTGTGTGTTCAGTGACCAGCGAATTCCTGGACCCGCAGAGAGAATAAAACCCTCCCTCCTCCCTGCCCTAAACCCTGCCCTATCCAGTGAGGAAGTTTGGGCTTCGAACCATAAAGCCACAGAAATTTGGAGTTACCATTCTTCTTCAGATAAACAGACCCTAATCCTACACACACACCCCCCACCTAATCCCGTGCTCTCTTCCCCTTCTCTCCCTCTAATACAGTCCTTCCCATGTGGGCATGTGACGTGTCTGTGCTTTTGTTCCTTGTTTTTTCGCCCTTTTTGCTTGCTTTTAATGATAATGGCTTTATGGTTCAAAGACTCTTGTTTTCATACTCTCCAAAGGGTTTACTGCTCAGCTCCCTAGTGGGCTACACCTCCTTGCGGGGAGGGAATGGTAATGCCTTATTCGCGGTAGTTTGGTTCCTGAGCCACACGGGACCACAGTACTCTAGAGCACTGCTGCTGACAGCGCCGCAAAGCCTGGCTCATCGGCCAGACCTGGACGGGCAGACCAGTCACTCAGCTCCCGTTAGCCCTGCAAACCAAAGCCCAGCGTGGTCCCAGCTGGACAAGCAGAGAGTGCTCGCAACGGTAAACTATGTGGGTTTAGCTGGTTAGACTCCAGCAGTTACCCCCCCAAACGCACGCTCTGGGCTTCCCCCAAGCCTTGGCTCTTGCCAAGCTGCGCCTAATCCTCTCCGGCTGGTAATGCTTTACTGTTGGCTTCTTTCAGCCCAACACAAACCTCTTTGAGGAATGTTGGAAGGAGAAAATCCGGCAGTTCAATGATGAGGAAGGTTCCGATGAGGAGGACGTGTGGCAGGAGAAGGAGCTTCGCTTTGCCACTAACGCCCCTCGCACGCCCAGGTCAGTGTGTATGCGCCTGTGTGTGCGCGAGGGATGGTGTCTCGTTACACAGCATTGATACCAATCATTCACAGAAAGCAATTAAGTTATTGTTTCACCACAAGGTTAAGACAGTGACCCTCCTGGAGCTCTTTCATATGAAATCTCGTGACACCTCGAATAGGAACTTTTTTTTCCACTGCGTGGCGAACAAGGATATTGTTTTAGTCTCTCCGTCCTGCCTTACCCTTCAATCCCCCTCTCTCTCTCTCTCTCTCTCTCTCTCTCTCTCTCTCTCTCGTCTGATTTACTTCCCTCTTGAAAGCTACAATGGTCTCAATCTCCACCACCTTACTTTGGCAGAGGATTCCACACCCCCACCTGCTCTCTGGGTGAAAACATTCCCCCTGAACTCTCCTCGTCTCCCTTGGAGACCTACTTAGTCTGTAGTTTCACAGGACCTCCCCACGTGCCTATGCCTTAAGTCTTGAAAGTGAGCGCAGCTGAGTTATGGGGGAGGAGAGTGGAGAAGGGGGTGGGATCTTCACAGGAGGCACTGATACTATCTGATCTGAAAGACCTTCCTCTTCGACTCTTACGGTCACTGTCGAGCACTCCGGGACAGAGGAGCTGTGTAAATACCAAGTTGTAGTTGTTGTTGACCTGTCTGAGGCTCTCAGTGTGGGTCTCACTGCTCTGATCTCAGTGTGTGTGCGTGTGACGTGTTGCAGGAGTTCTGGGAGCACGGACAGTGAGGGGAGCAGGGACTCGGAGGAGGAGGAAGAAGAGGAGGGAACATTGAGGCCTGTTAAGCCCAGCGATGACAAGGTGGAGATGGAGCTGAATAAAGGTGAGTGCTCTGCCCTCCACCTCCCCCCCCAGCCCCCTGCCTCCATCTCCTGACCCCAACCCCCAGCTCAGGCGCGAATCCCCGACTGTCCAGCGCCTTGGGACATCCTCCTGACGTGTGAATGTCATCTGTCGTTGTTGTTGAAGTGAGGCAAATGGATCTGCAGTCAGACACGGCAACTCACCGACAGCGAAGCAGCCGGGATGAGGTTGGAGCCCGGATAAAAACTCCCTGCTCTCTTCCAAATAGCGTCTTATTAACGGGCTGACTCTGTGCTTCGGGGAAGGATTAATTGTGGGCACTTCCTGCGCTCCCTGTTGCCTACGCGTGAATGTATCTCTCAGCTCGCAAACGCTTTGTCTCGTCTTCTGTCTCCCCCCGTTCCCCCCGCCCAGAAACCGGCTGGACTGCCAACTTTGACAGCGTCCCAGCGTCGAAGGCAGCGAGTGGCCAGAGCGTGTCTGACGCTGGGCTGAGCGTGTGGGACAGCACGGATCCCCCCACCTCACCCCCGCCCATGGAGGGGTGGGCCGTGTTCGCCAGCTTTGCCTCCCAGGCCGGGTAAGCGAGAGGGTTCTGGTCCTGGTGCCTGCACCCGGGGCAGAGAAGTTGTTGTTCAATCCGTGTGACCGCAGAAGCTCAGTTTTAACCGGCACGAGTATTACACACACGTCCTTCCCACACACTTCCCTTCGCACCTTGACTCCTTCCCTATCTGTACGCAATTGGCCGCAAAATGCGCCGTCAATTCGCTTTACAGTGCATATCCTGTGCAGCGCTCGCACTTGGGAGACGTCTCGACGACGTGACAAGGCACCGTAGCAAATGCAGTGATTATAGTCTATGGTATATTACTGTTACTAACGCACGTTGTTTGCTGCAGCCCCTCTGGTCGCTTGCGCACAAACTCTCCGGTGTCCATGGAAACCAATTCCCCGTTGGAGGATGAACTACAGAGCAGCGGTGATGCACACAGCAAGCCAGCAGCGCAGGAAGGTGAGCGTGACCTCCCACACGCCTTGAACACCCATGAACACGCCTCGCGCTGTAAGACCTGTGATGTCTGGGTGAAGCGTCCGTCCAGTTTGAGATCAAAAAGGGCCAACTTCATAGCTGTGTTGTGATCTTAATGTCTCCGGCCCTCACTGATCTCCACTCCCACCATCAACGGCTGCGCTTTCAGCCACTGATCCCCGAAGCTTTGGAACTCCCTTCCCCAATCTCTCCGCTTCGCCCCCCCCACCACCTCCTCCTTCCCCTCTTTTAGATCACAACTGAAGACCTTCCTCTGACCGTGCTAACGGCTTGGCTTCGGGCTCCGCCACCGTTGAGCATTTCAAAACGCTGTGTAAATACAAGTCGTTGGTGGAGCCAATGCCTCCAAAGTGGAGTCCTGTAGCTCAGTAGTTAGAGCAAGCGAGAGACCCTGGGTTCGATTCCCGGTCGGGAGTAAATGTTGGGCAAGTTTCCTTACTCCACATACACGCCTCTGTTTACCTGGCAGTAAGTAGGAACATGGATGTGAGTCGATGGACGGATCGCTTTTCCGGGGATAATAGTTCCTTCGAAAGAAGATAATAATAATAAATTGGTCACTTCAATCCATGACTGTTTGTGGGATGCTGCTCGCGCCCACAAGATACACAGTCAATTCGCTTGACAGTGTGTCCTGTGAAGCGCTTTGAGACGTCTCGAAGACGTGATAAGACGCCGTATCAAATACAAGGACTGTTATTATTATTAAGTTCCTCTCTCCTGTGTGTAGGCTGTCCGGGGACCTTGGGTACGTTGACCAACCAACAGCAGGGTGACAAGAAGGCAGCGAGTGCCAACTCCGTGGGTAGGCCACCTCACACGGGCAAAGACCAGGCCATCGTGGGGACAGCAGGGGGCAGCTCAGTGCTCAACGGCTCCCCCCCAGAGCCTGCCCTCTCCTCCTCCTCCCCCGACAAACGTCCTGACACAAAAACATGCACAAAGTAGGTACTTTTAATAGCTCTTGGCAGTTGGGGGGGGGAGGGAGATGGCGGGGGTGCGTGGGGAGGGTGCGGAGGAAAAAGGAGTGTTACAGGGGAGTGAGGGCATTCGTATCTCACACAACTGGATTCACCTGCAGTGACCGTGTTGGTTGGATGGTGGGAGGGGGGGGTAGGGAGGATTGGTTAACCACACAAGGTTGAGATCAAATTGGCCATAGGGCCTACACACACACACACACACACACACACACACACATATACACACACGCACACACACACGTACACACACCCCCACACAGACAGAGAGAAACTATTTCCGAAGCTTTCTTGTGATGTTAAGCCTGACACCGTCTTGCCTTGTGTTGCGCAGTGAGGAAGGCCTCTCATCTACCTCGGAAGTTGGCCCACGACATCCAGTGTAAAGGAGGGCGGCGAGGCCCCCAAGACCGGACTCACAGCCCCCTCGGCCCCATCGGCAGACGCCACAAGGCAAGATCAGAGGTAAAAGTCGCGGGCAGCCAGCCTCGGACTCCTCACGCACACACAGCAATCCTTACACCTGATCCATAACCTTTTACGTTGGGAGGATGTCTCAAAGAAGGCGAAAGGCTTCCGCGCTCTACACCGCTCGGGGCTCGTTCCCTCTCTCCCCCACACCCCATCCCTATACCCCCACCACCTCCCCCCTCCCCTATACACCCCACCCCCTATACCCTCCCACCCCCTCCTACCCCCCACCCCCTCCCTATACCCCCCCACCCCCTCCCCTATACCCCACCCCCCCCCTCCCTACCCCCCACCCCCTCCGGGATGTCCCGGTGGTCGGGAATCCTCCCACTCAGCTCCTCTGCAACCAAGGCCCTCACTAACCAACGGGCGGTGGTGGTGGGGGGGAGGGGGTGGGGGAGGAGGGGGGGTGGGGGTGGGTCTCAAGATGGCTGGTGGGGGGGGGGGAGGGAGGGGTGGGGGTGGGTCTCAGATGGCTGGTGTTGGGGGGGGGGAGGGAGGGGTGGGGGGTGGTCTCAGATGGCTGGTGTGGGGTGGGGGGGAGGGAGGGGTGGGGGGTGGTCTCAGATGGCTGGTGTGGGGGGGGGGGTTGGGCTGATCGCTCTGTCGAAGGAGGCGATCCCTCTCCGGCCCATCAACACCACCGCACAGGACCACACACTCCCAGAGAGAGAGAGAGAGAGAGACGCCACTGTGCGCAATCGGCCGCCGCCTTCGCCCACAAATGTACAGTCAATTCACTTTCCAGTAAATTCTGTGAAGCGCTTTGGGACGTCGAGAAGACGTGAAAAGCTCTGTATCCAATGCGCGGATTGTTGTTGTTATTATTATTATTATTATTATAAAGCGCTGACACAGACCCGATGGGCCGAATGGCCTCTCTCTGCGCTGAAATGTTCGAAGATTCTAACGTCCTGTGAAGTGCAGCGACTGTGCGTATGTTGCGGGAGAAACGAGGCAGCGGGACACCGAGGGAGATACCCTTCTCCCCCCCACCCCCACTCCCCCCCCCGACAATTTAGCACAATAAGTGGAATCTGTTCCAGTACAAAAAAAACCTTTGAAATTGGTAGAATATTTTATTACAACAATCAGGTTTGTACAGCACTACTAACCGCGTTCCGTCTGTACAACTCTGTATATAAGCAATAACATTGTTCCTAGAATATACGGTTACTCTTACAACAAAAAGATGGTTTAATAAGGGTTTTTTTTTTCCTTTCCCTCCCCTCTCCTCCTCCTCCTCCTCCTCTCAAAACTCCTTTAATTTCAGTGTTTGTTACCAAAGGAAACAGTACTCGTCAACCAGACACCTGCTGAAATTTAAATTTTAATTAAGATTACACAGCACACTTCAAACGTCAATAATCTGAGAGAGAGAGAGAGAGAGTGAGTGAGTGAGAGAGACTGAGAGAGAGAGAGAGAGATAGTGAACGCACGATCTTACCTCAACGCCAAACTTATATTAAGTTTTTTTTGGGGGTGGATTTCAAAGACTGACACACAACGTATGTATTGTGCCGCTCTCTGACTGTGGACAGGCAGTTACTTTTGTGGGTGGTGGGTGGTGGGGGGGTGGTGTGGGGGCTGAAGGGAAACACTGAGAGATCATCCATCCATCCATCCTTAATTTCAGCAAATATGGGGGGGGGGAGAGGGGTGGGAGTCGGGGAGAGAGAGAGAGAGAGAGATGGGTTGGATTTCAAATGGGACGCCATTAATTCTTTCTTTGCTCCCCCCTCCCTCCAGGTACGGGATGAGTTGGCTTTGCTTATTGAGAGCACGAGCGCAAAAGCTCTGAACCCAATGCCCATTCCTTCCATTGTTTCCAACCGACATTCGCCGTATAATTGCTACGGGCAAAGAGGGGGAGAGAGAGAGAGAGAGAGAGAGAGACAGAGGCAGTCATAAAGGGAAAGAGAATCAGAGAGAGAGAGAGCGAGAGACAGTGGCACACAGACAGACAGACAGAGACAGACACACACACACAGACAGACAGAGAGAGAGAGATGCACAGAAGAGAAAGGGGACCGACCGAAGCAGAACGACAGAGACGAGAGAGGGAACGTGGCACTTCCAAGACAATACCCAACGGTTTCCATTTCAAGTTCGGCGCCAACCCCTCAAATGTCCCCACAAAGGACCCCCCCACCCCCCCCCCACACACATTGCCCTACTTCCTCTCCACCCACAACCCACGTCTTGTCTGGGAGGCCAGAGGTGGACTTGACGGTCCGCCTCCCATTGCCCACACTTTTAGCACAGGACGGTTTATGCAGCAGTTATTAACCCCCCCCCCCCCCCACAAACACACACACACACACACACACGGGAGCCGAGTGCATCTGCCAAACGATAACCAGTTTCAAAGATGTATTGAGGTCCACCCTCTTCCCACCTGCTCCCCCTAATTTGCTTTGCAGGTGTTCAAGTCCACCATGCATCGTTTTCACTGGGGGGGGGACGGGACGGCGGTGAGGGGGTGAGGAGAAAGCGAATGGACCACGTTAGAGGGAGGGAGCGCGGGAGATGTAAACTTAACCCTGAACAACAAAGGCAGCGAATGCAATTCACACAAGGCCATGTTGTACACCAACACGCGCCGCCTCTTCCCCCCCCCCCACCCACACCCCTCCCACAAACCCAACCACCCACCGCCCCCACCCCCAGGAACTCCTGGCCATACTCCGCTCTCCACACCATCCGCAGTCGCAAACTACCGGCACCTCAGACTTGGGTCAAGATGTTCATTCGGTTTAAACACACGAGGGTTGAGATCCTTTGAAATCCAGTCAATTTCAACCCCCCACTCGCCTTCCCCCCCACCCTCAGCATCTCTCTCTCTCCCCCCCCCCCCACCACCACCACCCCCTGCGCATACACACACACGCACACACACGCTAAGGTCCGAATCTTTTTTTTTTGCAATATTCTAAAACAACTTCATTATGCACAAAAAAAGATTTTTTTTTTCTTCTTCTCCAATATGAAAATAGATAACTCGCCATTTAATATTTAACACTGATCATCAGCTCATGGTATCAAAGGTAAGTGGCTTCCGGCAGTCTGCAAGTCAAAGGGGAACAAGCTCACCTGAGTGTACTTAGAACTACGTAGCATCTAAGTAGTCTCTCTCTCTCTCTACCCCCCCCCCCCCATCACCCCCCAAAGAAAAGTTCTGGGTTGGAAGAGATAGAGAGGGAGAAACACGTTATAAGTGCCTTCGCTCATAATCAGTCACTGACCACAATCATGTTGGGGGTCTGGGACGATCGGGAGGCATTTTAAGATAACACCAGCAACCCCCCCACCCCACCCCACCCCCACCCCCTCTCTGTTCCTCCACCCCCAGGAAAAATGGAAATAAATCCCATAACGGTTTCGGAAGGAATAGCGACTGAATGCATTTGGCTCTTTCTTGCAGGAAGTGGGTTAAGAGCAGGAGAGGATGGCAGAGACTCGCTCGAGGGGGGGGTCTTCCTGGGGGGGGGGGGGGTAGCTGGTGAGACAATCGGTTCAAAACCATCTCCACCACCACCCGCCACCCCTCCCACCACACAAAACACCCCCCCCATCCATCCGTAAAAGTCTGTCTCGCTCGGTCCTCTCATACGCTATAAAGACCAGGGGGTGTGGCAGAGTTTGGTGGGATATGGGGTGGTGGGGGGGGGGGGGGGGGGGAGTTGGGTTGGGAAGAGGAAAGGATGGGAAAGAAGCCGAGAGGGTAAACTGACACCATTGCACCTTCAGCCACACACCTCCCACCTCTTTTCCAGAGCGATTTATTTGACGTTCGCAATCACACGGGAACCCCCCCCCCCACCCCCCACCCACATTACCCTCTTCTCATCTCGACATTATTAAAGAAAAATTGAAAGATCGCTCTTTGACATGGATAACGCCGGGGGGGGAGGGGGGGGAGGACAGAGGACAGAGAGAGAGAGAGGGTGTAAAGAGAGAGAAGGTCAATGACTTTAGACAGAAACCTAACGACAGATTAATCTATAAGCAAACACTCGCTTTTGGAACAGTGTGGGGGGGGGGGTTAGGTTTGCAATGTCCTGTAACGACCACCAATTCAACTATCGACCTCTAGGTGGCAGCACTCAACGCACCCCTCCCCTCCCCTCACCCCCCCCCCGGTTGAGCAGCACCGTCTTTATCGGTCCGGCGGCCGTCATCGTGTTTCTATTCCAAAATTAGCATCTTCCGAATTCAAAACCCCCCGACTCGAGGTTTTCGATTTAAGGGGTTAAGTCCCGGGTCAATCTTACCGCGCGGGCGGGAGGGGAGGGGGTGGGAGCGGTGGGGGTGGGGGGGTGGGAGCGGGATCGGGAGGTCAACTTAAAAGAGGCCGTTCCAGGCACTCCAAAAATCGCTCGCCGCCCGAGAGGAAAGAAATGCCGGCGGCCGGAATGGCCGACGGTTTTACGTCAACGCTTTCACCGATTCCCCGCAAAGTCAACCCAGAACATCCCTCCTGTTTAATACCGACACTGCAACGCTCCCCTCCTCCCTCCCTCCCTCCCTCCCCCCCCTCTCTCTCTCTCTCTCTCCCCCCCACCGACATCCCCGCTGGTTTTTTTTTTCCAGCTATAAACCACTTTTTCCGCCCGGACTGGACTTCTGACGATACGGAAGCGAAAAAAAAAAAAGTTTCTTTTTCTTTTTTTTTAAAAAAAAAACCTAAAAGGAAATCGATTCTCACTCTGGACTGAAAACGCCCGACCAAAACGCACGTTGTTTCGAAGCCTTAATATATCCGAGAGACCCTGACACTGCCCCCACCCCCCCCCCCCCGAGAGAGATCTTGACCCAGGTACCCCTCTCCCACCCGTCCAACCATCAACTCACGGACCCCAGTTCCCCCCCCCCACCACCGAACGGCGCTTACGGTGAGAAGGGGGAGGGGAATGGGAGAAAACACCTCTGTACTTCGCGAGATAAATTAAGAAAAAAAATATTTAAACTCCCCCCCCACCCACCTTCCCGATCCTACCCACCCCCACCCCACCCACCCGAATTAGAGAGGAAACGTACTCAGCCCTCTGTTCCCACTCCGTGCCGCACACACCGTTAATTTCAGACGCCTGCCACATTCTCTGAGCCCATGAGCTGATGATAAGATTGTATTGCTGGTTTATTATAGCCCCCTCCCCTCCCCTCCCGCCCCATTACTCCCCCACCCCACTCCCCCTCCCCGCCTTCGTTTGTGAATCAGTGCAGCTGAGAGGTTGCTCTGGGAAGGTGATGGCTGGCTTTTCACGGTCACTCCTGCCAAGCAGCGGAGAGAGAGGGAGGGAAGAGGGACGGGGCAGGGGCGGGGTGGGGGGCGGAGGAGAGGGGGGGGGGGGTGAAGAGACCAGCTCCCAAAATCAGAGCGGGGCACGAACCCCAGGGGTGGGGCTTCCGTTCAGGGCTGGACCGACAAGCGCCTTCCTCGCACACTCCGTCCACAGCGTTACCTAGGAACGGAAACAGCACCCGTCACCGTAACACAGTCACAGCACACAGTGCAGTGACAACAACAACAACAACAACAACAATCCTTGCACTTGACACAGCGCCTTATCACGTCTCAAAGCGCCTGACAGGATGCACTGTAAAGTGCAGTGACTGTGTGATTTGTGGGCCAAACACAGCAGCCAAATGCGCACAGCGTCGAGTGAACAAATTTTTTTTTTTTTGGACATTTTATTTCAGAAGGGATTGTTACCCTCGGAAAAGCGATCCACCAATCGACTAACAACCGGGTTCCTACCTACCGCCGGGAAACCGAGGCGCACGTGTGTGGAGTAAGGAAACTTGCGTAACTTTTCGCCCTGACTGCCCGGGAACAGTTTCTCTCTTAATTCCCTTAACACCCGTGTGTGTGTGTGAGAAAAATATACCGTGCACTTTAGCTCGACTGTGAAGGGTCAGGAACTCATTCCCGGTGGTGGGGGAGTGGGGGGGGGTGGTAGGGCCCGGGACGGACGGAAGGACAGTAATACCGCCCCCTCCTCCGCACTCCACTCACTTGTTTTCTGTCGTCGCAGACGTCTTGTCCATTGAGCCATTCAGAACGGGACAGGCTGCCTTGGGAGTCCTCATCTCCTCCTCCTGTGCCTTTGGCGTGCTGCTGGACACACAACCACAGCCGTTAGGTAAAGGAACTCCTCTCCTTCCTTATCCCCCACACTCGCTCTCCCCCCCCACACTCACAACATACAGACATAATTACAACACTCACGCGTAGTCAACCCTTGTCTGAGTTGCTCTCCTCACTCCAGCAAAACACTCTAACCCCCTCGGGCTCTCCACCAACACTCCCTCATTCGAGTGACCGACGGTGGTGGTGGTGGTGGTGGTGGTGGTGGGGGTGTGGGTGGGCGAGGTGTGAATTGGATCAGGAGCGACCAGCTATAGACTAGGAGTCAAGTCACTGCACTGGGAGCTCTGCTCTGGTCGGGGCGACGCACTCAACGACGACGTTTGCAGTCACACAGCGCCCTTCACTCACTTCACGGCAGTTTGCGAGGATGGGGCTGCGTTCAATCAGCTGCCGAGTTCGCCTCCAAGGCACACAGTCACTGCGCTTGACTGTGTATCCCTCGAAGCGCTTCGCGACTGGAGCAGAGAAGGAGGAGACCCGATGGAGGTCTTCAAAATCACGAGGGGATCCCAGGAGGAAAGCGAAGAGTCAAAAAACAAATGTAACTGGAAATCTCTTTTATTTATCGTCCAGGTGATGACGAGGAGACACTGTATACAGAGGAGCTGAGGTCTCAAGTCATTTTAAATAAAAAAAATACACAAATAACTTATCAAATATATAAACATGTCGGTTCACATCTCCCAATACATAAGAACTTTTACCTGGTGTTCCTCCAGTGTTTGACTTGCAATTTTTACAGTGTCCTTTAGGTAGTCTGACGTCTCAGTGCTTCACAGCGATGGGTTAAGTAAGGGGTTGGGGGGGAATTTACTGCTCATTGCCAGAGCCCCTTGGCCAAGCGATAGCCCAGTCACTTCACACCAACGCCCCAGCTGAAGGACTTACTGCAATCACAGCACATCGCAGCGCCGAAGCGGGCCGATTGCTCCCGTCTCGTCTGCCCTGGTTATTTCTGCACCGAAGTCACTTGGTCTCTTCTCCCTCCTCCTTTCCCAGCGCCGTGGAACATCCTCCCGAAGGGAAGGGCCCTCCCGACAATCGGAATTTTGTGCTGTGCTGCGTTCCCTTCGATCGGAAGAGGCAAGTTTTTAAAGACTCGACGTAACAGGCCGACCAGCGAGGACGGTTCAAGGTGGAGGCGGGTGAGAAATTTAGCCACTTTTCGGTGGGAATCTTTATCCCAACTCGGGATCGACTCGGGATGTTTGTCGGGACTTGGGAGCAATCGGTCGTCTCTTTCTCCCTCACCCCAGGACGTTCTTGGTCTTGGATGAAGGGAACAATTTGGGAATGTTTGGGAAGTGGGAATAAGAGATGCACTGAGGCGCAGACACTTTCCATATAACAACATAATGATAATAATAATAATCCATTTGATAAAAAAAAGTTGATAAAAGTGTGGAAGACACAACATTTAACAATTCCTTTCTTGCTCCTAATACACTGCCCCCCAACTATAAATAAATTATCTAATTAATAAATAATAATCTTTCCATTTGATATAGCGCCTCATCACATAATTGAGACGTCTCAAAGCGCTTCACATGTAAATACATGAAGCGATATTGATGTTTCCTTCCCAATGTCACTGGAGTGAAAGGGATAATTCTGGCTCCTACCAAGAAATTATTTTCAGCTGCTGTAAGAGTTAAACTCACTCGATTCTCCCCCACCCCCCACACACACCCCCCCACCCCCCAATCCAATCCAAAAGAAAATCTACCTCCCAATTGCTGGCTTGGGCTGTCAGCTGCTTGGAACACTCTCGTGCTTTCCTCAATTATCTGCAACGTGTCAGTGTTGATCACTGAATGACGAGAGATGGGGGAAAAAAAACCCATTCACTTCCGTCCCAGAGAGAGAGAGAGATAATTCCACACGTGTATGAAGCTGGAACTCTCAGTCTGATTTGGAGACTCCGCAATGGGTTTCAAACTTGGGTCAGAACCCGAACTGACCCCCTCTCTCCCTCAATAAAATGATCTAAATTCCACTGTCTCTCCGAAACCACTCCATCCTTCCCCCGAACCCAAACCCCAAACCCCAAACCCCAAACCCGGTTAAATCTAAGAAACAAGACATTTTCCAGTTGGCGGTTTGTTTTTTTCGAGTGCGTTTTTTTGGGGGTTTTTTTTTTTTTGAATCATTTATTCCGCATAAAGCTCTGCCCACACAGCGTCTCTGTGCTTCTGCTCGAAGCACCGTCCGATGATGGTCTCTGTCTCCGCGATCCGCCGCTGAAATCTGCACCGGTCTCGGCCACACTCCTCCCAGGGACCTTTGCGGGCGGCCCGATAGGCGAAGGACCAGGTGATCATCCGATGGAGTTCGACATTTGGAGAAAAACGGACCTGGGAAAAGAGGAAGAGAGAGAGAGAGAGAGAGGGGGGGGGAGAGGGATCAGTCACTTTCGTTCATCGCAAATATTCCTTGTGTTCCAAGTCTTTCCCCCCCGTCGAGACGTCTCAAAGCGCTTCACGGGATTTACTATCGTATTAATAATAATCCTCGCATCTGATATCGCACCGTATCACGTCAGCGAAACACCTCGAAACACTCCACAGGATGTATACTGTAAGCGAAGGGCGATGCAGGGCTTTTTCTTCCCAACCATAAATAAATAATAATTTGGCCGCTCAATCCACGCAATTAGTCGCACGTTTTTTTTCCCCCAAAATACAGGGTGCAACTTGCGGTAAATTCTTTGAAGCGCTTTGAGATGTCTGGAGTCAGCTGTAATGAGTCAACGATTCCAACCCGGGCCTGAGTCATCTGTCTGCAATAATTCCTGCATTACGTCACACTTGCATCAGACCAGTTCCCTGGTGACGAGCTGTTCCACCACCCACATTTGGGACAAAAGTTTATTGCAAAGTCATTCCCTTAATTATAAATATTACATATGCCATAAAAAAATTCTGGTTATTACAAAAGATTTCCTCCTCACCCCAAGTTTCCCTCAGTCCTCTCACTCGGGGCAAATATTTCTGGTCACGAGTCTTTGTTTCACGGGGAAAAACTGGCAGTTTCATTCTTTGTTGGTATTATTTTATAATAATTTCCTCCCGTCACGGAACATACTGTCGAGTGGATTGACTGTGTATTTTGTGGGTGAAACGCAGCGGCCAATTAATTGCACACAGAGATGATGGAAATGTACCTTTTTGATGGATTTTGGCTTCTTCCCGTCGCTGTCCTGTTGCTCTGTGGCCGCAAAAGCTTCTCGGATCTCCGCAGGACAGTCTTCTTCCAACCGTCCCGAAGGAAAATCCCAGTCGCTTCCTTCCTTCTCTTCTAGACCTTCCTCCCAAAGCCCCTCATGGCTCGATCTCAACACGGATCCCAATCCCGACCCCGGAATTCTGTTGGGGCCAGCGGAAAAGTCTGTCTCCTTATTGGAATCGCTGCTTGAAGAAAGTGAGTGGCACAGCGTGTTTCTCTCGGTCTTCTCTCGGGCTGTGGTCTCGCCCTCCACAGAGGGGATTTTCTCCCCCTTGGCTGGGGTCTCGGTGTCTGCCATGTTCGGTGTCCTCTGGGGTGGGGGCCCGGCGCGGGCCGAGAAATTCAGGGGATTGTAAGGGTCGTCAGAGACGAAGAAAGACTCCCAGAGATCATCAGCTTCACAGCTGATCTCCTCATCATCATCGCCGTCCGAGTCTTCCCAATCGGTGGACCAGTCACTGAGCAAAGCCCCCTCGTTCTCCCCGAGCCACTCCAGAGACCCTTCGCCCTCCTCCTCTTCCTCCTCTTCCTCTAGCTCCGTGGACCAGTCGGATTCCTGGCCGCTCTGATCCACGGGCGGGCAGATCATTGACAGGATAACAGGGTTGGTGCAGGTGGAAGCCATCTCGTTCTGGCTGTAGCCCAGGGCTGCGTGCTGGCCCAGAGGGCCCCCAGATGTTCCGAGACACTGGCCAGATGTGTTCTTCCTCTGCTCCTCCCTCACCACCTCTTCCCCAGGCAACGAGAGGTCCTCTCCGCCTTTCAATCGGGCGCTGTGTTGGAATAGGATGACTGTATCAGCCAGGAAGTAATACCAGGCACCAG